AATTTACAAGTAAAAGTCTTCCGACTTCCCAGCTCCCTTTAAAGATATTTTCTTTTCTCTTGTGGAACATTTTGTAGCTATTAGGCATTAACCTTTAATGGAGAAGAGACACAATTGTCCCTGCCCTTGAAAGGAGATATATTTCTCGCTTTTAAGACAAATTTCAGTCTTTGCTCTTGGAAATGAAAAATCTGAACTTTGAATGGCGTTGAGGAAGTATTTTTGTCATATTAATCCTAAGCTGCACAGCGAAAGATCACATACGGAAAGGGATTCAGTTTACAATCGCATGGGCGTATGTTCAAGTGCCTGAAAACTTAATCAAGATTTCATGGGAAAAGCTTTAACTTGCGTGCTTTGACCTTCGGTTTGGATCAAATTGCAAAAATTAAACACTTTGCAAAATATATAGGGGAAAATGGTGAACTAGCAGAAGTTTTGTTTTCCCTCTTCAAAATTGGTCTAATTACCGTTTTTTCATTATATTAGCCTTATCAACAAAATGGGTAGATTAGCGATGGTAAGTTCATGTTTTGCAAGAAGCAACGTTTGTTTGTCCTACGTAGACTTAAAAAAAAAAAATTAAGAATTCCAGGATGAGCGTCAAAAGTTAGAGCATTGACCGTAGTTTTTAATGAATTTATGTAAGGTGTCGTCAATTGCTTGTAAGAATTCGCATCAACAACTTAAAAATAAATGGTTGGAATATAACGGATGGAATGTTGGAATTTATGTTTCTTGTGAGGTCTGGTCTTACTTCCATTTCAAAAGCAGTAAAATTTAGGCAACCCTGGTTTATCGTTTTGGTATATATACTTACATATAAACACCCGGAAGAGCCAGAAAACGCTACTAAGCATAGCAGAAATTAGAGGTGACAAATGTCAGGCCCCGAGTGCTGCTCAAACCCACCGATCCTCGACCCAAACTCTGGAGCAGGCCACGTTCAAAAACTCGGTGGTCTCAACTCTTATGTCAGCGGCCTCTCCTGTTCTAAGCACGCCATTCTTTTGGTGTCAGAAGTTTTTGGTATCTTTTAATCAGCATATTTTTCTATCTCTTGCTCTTAGAACATTCAAATCCTTCCATGTTGTGTACTTAAGATTAGCGGTGTGGTGGTGGTGATGGTATGTATGATCAGCTTGGAGTTTTAAGCTTTATTGAGATTACACATTGCCGTTTCGATCTATATGATTGTCAACGTTATGAGTTGACTGCAAACTGTAGTTTGATGCATGGAATCATTCTTTTTACATGATGATAAGTTCAAGTTTTCTTTGATATGCACTTTACGTTGTTTCATTTCTTGCGACACAAACATCGCTATAAACTTTTTGCTTGCCTAACTTCTTTCAATGAATACAAAACACAGTTACAAATCTTTGTTGTTTTATTCCTGTTTACGGTTCTCTATTTCCCCGTAATATATTGACTTAATCTGTAAAACTTACCTTGCAGGATATGGAGCTCCGAATCTAGGTAAGTCTATTTTTTTACTTCTGTTACCTATCTTTTTAAGACTCTGATTATTGTGAAGAAGATTGTTTTTTCCTGTTTTTCATCAAGCTGAAAGCTATAGCTGAACTTATTGGTACAAGGAGTCTATAGAGTGATATATGTTGAGCTGATACTGTAAAACTACTCCATTTTCCTTCTCGCTACTTGTAGATGGTCACTGTGGAATTTGAACCAGATATTATTACATTTTCTTTCAACAACTATCACAGTATCACATTTTCCTTGCAAAACTAAAATAGGGACACACAGTTCTTAATCCTCAAGAAATGCTTTTTTTTTCCCTTCCTTTTTTTTTTTAATACGTGGAGCATCCGGCATCTTGGACCTACTTCACTTTGGGTCCAGACTAATCCAAAGCGAGCGAGGTAGGACCACAAGGACGGAAAAGCTCTACCACCAAGTATTTAACATTGCTGCATTCCCAGAGTTCAAACTCGAGACTTTTGGTTGAGCTAGTACAACTCTTTAAAAGTTGAACCAAGTGCTTGGTGGTTCAGAGAAGATGCATTTGGATTTGCACACCTCATTTTATCTGGAGATGCTGCTTAACGCTTATAATTTTCTCATGGTTCCGTTTATTGCGCCACTAAAAAATGTATTTAAAGGTAGTTATGTTATATTTCCGTAAAGCTAACGCTACTTGTTTGTTATACAGGAAGCTTGCAGACAAGATTGCAGCTAAAGGGTACTATGTAGTGGTACCTGACTTCTTGTATGGAGATCCCTTTGCCTACGAAAAAGCCAGCAGACCTCTGCCAGTTTGGCTAAAAGATCATGAGCCAGTTAGTTCTTGCTAGTATTTTCTATCATTATATTGAAAACCAATCACTCGTGTCACTATTGAGAATTTGATGATGCTCATCTTTAAATACCTACAACTTAATACAAATTTTGGATTATGTATAGTACCTTATGACTGATGCATTACTCTCTGATTCTTTCTACTATATGGAAAGGACAAAGCATTTGAAGATGCAAAACCAGTAATTGAAGCCTTAAAAAGCATAGGCGCTTTGTCTATCGGGGCTGCATCTTTTTGTTGGGGTGGTGAGTGACTAACTGTTTGCCATTTTTATCCCTTTCTTGTCATATGATAATTCTATCAGTTCCGCAAGACATACTTATATCCCAAAAAAAAAAAAAAAGGAAATACACTTAGTGGATGAATTTAAGTACACGCAAAGAACAATGAGGCGCAACTGTGCTGAATATTGACAACTGAGTGGGTCCAATGATGCTGATATTTTCCTCTTCTCAGCAAAGTGTGTTGTAGAACTTGCCAAGTCTGGAATGATTCAATCTGCTGTGCTATTTCATCCATCATTTGTCACTGTGGATGACATCAAGGGTATACAATTTTATCTGTTTTCATTTTCTGTAATGTTGAGTTATTTAGAGCACACTCCTGTACTTAAGAAGTAACAGCAAGGAATGAATCTAAGAGTAGAATAAATCATCTGGTGTTGTTTTTCAGGGGTTAATATACCAATTGCAATACTTGGAGCTGAGATTGACCAATACTGCCCTCCAGAACTAGTGAAACAGTTTGAAGAGGTCCTAACTGCTCAGCTTGGGGTAGGACGAGGTCTTTATTGTTTTCTGGATTAACTATGCTTTTTCGTTATGTGTAAAGCTTGTAACCCTGTTTCTCCCTTTTGGCTTCTCAGAAACGAGCATTAACACCATCATCTAGACTTTCTTCCCACCCTTCTCTGGGAAATTGTCTGTTGTATTGTGGACACTTCGTTTTGCTTTCATTTTGTTGTTACTTGTTAGCTGCATTGTGTTAACTACCAATGAAGCACTTACACTTAAATTGAAAGTAAACACTACATATTTTGCTGTCTTATTCCGCATTCATGTGAGTAGTATGAGTGTTTGCAAAATTGTGACAGAGGAGCTAAGATTATTGTTGGCTGCAGGATGATTGCTATGTGAAGGTGGTTCCTAAGGTGTCTCATGGATGGACTGTGAGGTACAACATGGAAGATGAAGCAGCTGTGATGGCTGCAGAGGCGGCCCATCAGAAATTATTGGCCTGGTTCGCTGAGCATGTTCGCTGAATTTGCCAAACAAAACTGCTCTATGATGAGCAGCCAGCCTTTTGTGGTTATGTGTGTGGATCAGCCACTCTTAAGCATGTAACGTTTGATTAATGTAGTGTTCACCTTTTCATCCAATAAAAAACTATGAGAGACTCTTGTGTATTTTCCGCATAGGAGGAGGTTTGAACTTTTTTTTTGTATATGGAAATAAATACGCCGGTAATAGTTTTTTTTTTTTTTGGTAAGACTTAAAACATCTTCCGTCAATAAAAGGGAGACTAATCTCCTTTAACTCTTTGTGACTCCTTTTATATTATGTTTCTCTATACATGAAAATTAAAAATTAAATCGATTAATAATATTTTAAGGAAAACAACTGTTTCATTTTGAACTTAATTTAAGTTATTTTGAAATTAACAGTAAGTCTTGTGGAATTGACTGAAGTTAGTGTTAAACACCCAAAGTTATAAAAAATAATGAAACAAAACACATGCATTATTCATAATTTATAAAATATATAATTTTCAATAACTTATCTACATATATACACACAAATGCACACATATTACTTGCAAATAGTATATCTGGCAAAAAAAAAAATATAAATAGTGTAATTCTTAATGATTTCTTGTATTTAGGTGGTAGGGGTGTGTGAAATGATTTCTAACAATATGCAAGTATATATATCTCTTAAAAATTAATAATATAATACTCCTTCGATCCTATCCTTTTTGTAGTGTAAATTACACTACAAAAGGAGTCTTATATTAGGACTGGGGGAGTAATTTTTTGATTGAGTATACGTTTTTTTGTTGTTCCCAATTTTGAGTGAGTATACGTAAAAACATACTACCTCTGGTCCTAATTATAAGAGCTGGTTGACTAATTTGAGGAGATTATGAAAAGAAGTTAAATTAGTTATTTGTAATAAATATGTATTGTCTTTCCTAAACTATCTTTGCTAATTAAGTGTGTTGACTAGAGTTATCATTATTAGAAGGACTAGTTCAAAAAAAAAAGAGATAAAATAAATTAAAATATTATATTTAGGACTAAAATAAAAATCAAATAAGATCTTGTATTAAAAAGTGGAGGTAATATTACTGATCGAGTTCGCTATAGTATTGGATGCTAGCGGAGGCCCAGAAGCCCATTCAGAAAGCCCTAACCAATCGGTTTTCTAAACCCTAAACACATACCACTTTATATCTTCTGCTTAGGCAGTTTAACGGGTTCTCCTCTTCCCCCAGCGTTTGTAGCTTCCATATCAGCGCCGTCGCTCGGGGGCTCCGCTGTTTTTACTCGGTAAGATCTGCGTTTTACAGCTATTCATCTGCCATTGTTCGTCAGTCTTTCATATGTTGTTTGAGAACCGGTAGGGTATTTTTTCCCCCAAGTGTAGCTTAGGTCTAGTGATCGGAAGTATGAGGACCAGTATCATGTTGTACAAAACGGTGCTCGGGTTAGACCTAGCGCGTTTGTTTTATTGTTCTGAGCATAAATTTATCAGCATGGCGGAAAAATTATTACCTTGCATCTGATTCCTTCCCTGCTTATCGTTTGATAATCTGTCCCTTTCGAAATATTTTCTTTGTCCTTTTGCCTTATGAAACTAGGCTCCGGAGATTCCCAGCTTTGTTTTGTTTTCAGTTGCTATTGTTTGATTCAGATTAAAAAAATGTGCCTTCTAGCCCTTTAGATTAGTGTTACAGTCGCGATATCGCATGCTATAGTCTTGGAGTGAAATTGTAAAACAGAAGACGCCCAGTTATGTTATTAATTTTCCATGGTACGGGAAGCCTGGCTTCGCGTAACTAAGATCTTCGAATTACCCGAACTACTGAAATTCAGCTGATAGCATGATGTGTTTTGAAAATTATTTCTTGGACAAGAGCTTGTTATGGCTCGTGTTTGTCTTCTACAAATCAACGCACTACTAAGAAATAGGAATTACATGGCTTATGCAAAAGATCAATTTCAAATTAAAGTAAATAAAGTAGCTAGTCAGCTCTGATGAATTCAGATGTTTTGTTTTTAACTTTCCTAGTAACGGTTGAGACTTCAAAGACAAGTGCTTTATGCTGTTTGGGCGTTCCAATTTCTCCCTATTAAGGTGACAGCGAAAGAACATGGAAGTTTTGTTGACATGTAAATGCTTCAGAATTCATTAGGTGTTTTGAATTTTCGTGTTGCCGATGGAGGCGTTGATTGCATCATTCATAATTCAGATGTTGATTTGGTTCAAGCGTAGTTGGAGTACTACGTTATATCTAATGATGGTTTGCTGCTTCCACGCATGCATTTATATTGATGAACTGCTGTATTAGTTAAGCCTATAGTAACTAGAGACAATGGGAGTGATTTTGTGTTGGGATTATATTGTACGACACAGTTTAAGTATTTAACTACGGAAGTACTTCTATTGATTGCATATCTTTAGCATTTGTTCGGCAGAATCATGATATATGTTACAATTAATTCTTGTTGAAATTTGTAACAGTAACAATGGTGAGGGTCAGTGTTTTGAATGATGCTCTCAAGAGCATGTACAATGCTGAGAAAAGGGGGAAGCGTCAGGTCATGATTAGGCCATCCTCAAAAGTCATTATTAAGTTCCTTTTGGTCATGCAGAAGCATGGTATTTCTCTACCTGTTTTTGTTTGAATTTACTGCAACATATGAGTTAGGGTTTGTGACGGTTTGTTTTTTCCTCGTGGTTTGATTCAATTGTTAATTTCTTTAGGATACATTGGGGAGTTTGAATATGTGGATGACCACAGGGCTGGCAAAATTGTGGTTGAGCTGAATGGGAGATTGAACAAATGTGGGGTTATTAGTCCCCGTTTTGATGTGGGTGTCAAGGAGATAGAACCATGGACTGCAAGGCTACTTCCTTCAAGACAGGTCATAAGAAACTTTCTGTTTCTGTTTTTAAAATTACATCTTTTGGTCTTTTGTTGCTTCTGCTTGGAGAGAATGGTGGTCTTTTATCTCCCTTTTCGTTTTATGCATGTATTTCTTTTATTGAATCCGATTACACTGTTAATGCAGTTTGGCTACATTGTCTTGACAACCTCAGCTGGTATTATGGATCATGAAGAGGCTAGGAGAAAGAATGTTGGTGGGAAAGTGTTGGGTTTCTTTTACTAGAAAGTTTTGCCCGATGATTGCTGAATTTTGTTTGATCAGTTGTAACGGATGATGTTCTAGTAATATTATTAAGTATAGCTGGGTTTGTTATTTTATGATTCTACTTTTGCTTGTGAAACCAATCTGGATATTATAATTAATCTGATTTCTCTATCATTACATGCCTGTTGCCGGGGGTATTTGGGATAACCTGGGATGCACTCTGATGTGAGGTCAGGGAGATGATCAAGTTGTATTGCGCTGTGTTGAATTTTGTATCCTCAAAGTCCAACCATTGGTCAATATCATTGGTCTTGTGATGTGCGTGAGATTTCTTTCGCCCTCTTGAATCCAACCTAGCGGCATGCGATGGTCGAGGATCAAACCTGGTCGTCCACGTTATGCATAATTTGTGGTTTATCTCCTGGGTGAGATGCTAAATTTCTTCAAATTTAATCCTTTTTCCCTAATTAACCCGGCAAAATTATAATTTTTCCACAAAAATCCAAACTGCCCTAAAAAATGTTGAAATTAATTGTTGCCTGGAGATCGATTTTGTTGTAAGCAGTTCAAACGAACTCAAAATTTATTTTCCAGACCATTATTACGAATAAGTGTTTATTGAAAACTTCTTAATTTTTTGCCGCAAATTCAAATTTTGTATGACCGAGTATGATACTTCGAACTCACAATGAGATTCTTCCTAAACTCAGCTTATAATTTAAAGTCGTCGCCGTTGGATTGGATAATGAAAGACGAAAGAGGACTCCAATTATCATCCCTTATGCCTAGAACTGTCCTTGAAATATTTAATTCTACAACGAAGCGTGCGCATAATTGCCTACCAATTCACCCGTAAAAAAATTAATTTTCCATTGGTGACTATGATTATGTTTGTCAAGTCATCCACTCAATAGTTTTTATATACTCCTCCGGTTCTAATTATAAGACCCAATTGACTTATTTGAGGAGATTAAGGAGGTAAGTTAAGTTGGTTATTTATAATAAATAAGTGTTGTCATTCCTAAAATATCCTTGCTAATTAAGTATATTGGCTAAAACTATCATTATTAGAAGGATTATCTTGGAAAAAAATGCATAAATATAAGAGACAAAATGGATTTGGGTCTTATAATTAGGACCAAATAAAAAGTCAAATTGAGTCTTATAATAAGGATCGGAGGAGTATTTTGTTTAATAAAATGCTTTCATATGATTGACGAAACCTCCAACTTTTTATAAGCCCGAAGAAACACTGGTCACCAGCATTATTACAGGACAGCAACAAAACAAGATAGGATGCCTGAATTTCTAGAATTGGAGATTTTATACTTAAATATTAACACTATTTAGCAGAACTTATTTTATATTATATAAAAATACAATATTTTTATTTGAAAAATTATTCTTCATTTCAACCTTTTTGGGATTTCATTACATTTTACATATCGAATGAGTCCTTATCGTAATCTGTCCCGTTTAAAGTTGGCTTTTTGTAATATAATTCCCATGAATTTATCTTTCGGAGTAGCATATAGGTCACTTTGTAATAGTATTTGTCAAATTTGCTGAGATCAACCAACGAAATAAATAAATCAAAATAGGATTAGTGATCTGATCTCGTGTTCATCTTGTGTATATGTTACGGTGACCAAATTTGGGATCTTGTGCATCAAAATTTAATGTCACGTATTTATGTTTTTTAAGGAAAATAATTTACTCTAACCTTTTTGCTAAATATTTTTTTTATCCAAATGCAACAAACTAATCCGAGAATAATATTATTTTTCCCTCTTGTCCATTTCTGGACACTATTAGCAAAATATGGCATTTGATGTAAAGTAAACATCTTTCATTTAAATTAAATGGCCGATTCTTCTCATGATTGGGACCATTCGGTTGTAGGTGGCAAGAAAAGCAACCTTATTTTTCTTGTTATAGCTAAGGTCTTTTTTTTTTTTTTAAACTTATTTCCGTATTATAGAATAATGAATTTTACTTTCTTTAGAGATGAATATATAATATTTGATATATTTTATTGCTTGTTATCGTTTCATTTGAAACGAGAATCTTCAGAGTTCACTTTTTTTTTAATCTATTTATTAGAAGTAAATAGTTTTTACGCTTAAGCTACTGGTGAATTTCTTAGAATTATGATTAATCAAGTGATGATATTTTAAAAATAAGCTTATGGCTAATTTTATCTATTTTTCATTTTTGATGAAGTAAATGTTTATTTCTCAACAAAAAAAAAAGTAACAGAGGAACAACATATTTCTCCTAGTAAAACCAAACATGTCATTGAATTCAAGCACTCCAAAAGGAAAGAAGAAATAAAATCTGAAACCACGTTGTAGTGACCCAATAGTAACTTCACTTAGAGTCTGTTTGGTTAAACGGTAGCATCTCAAATAAACCCGTTTAAATCCAAATAAGTGATTATGAAGCACATTTGAGTTGTTTGGGTAATTTTTATGAAATCCTGATAAATCGTGATTTTAACCTCCCACCGCACTTTTAGGATAAGCAACAAAAAGTAGTTTATGCGTTTAAAAAATCTTGATCAATCTTCAACAATTAAATTTTCTCCAATCTACCCTTTGCTAATCATTTTTTTTTTAATTTTCATTCATCTCTTATTTATATGGGGTTTTTTATTTAATATTTTTACTACACATAAATTTTGTAAGTTATTCTAAATAATAATTTTAAAATAAAAATAATATTTAAATATTCATGTCATTTATTAAATTATATTTAATAAAATTTATTATTAAATATAATAATTATGAAAATGTAAACAACTTTATTAATTTCATGTCCTTTTTAGTAATTATACATCTATAAGTGATTTTAATAAATCAAAACCAAACATAATCACAATTCTTAAAATCATTTATTAAAAAAAATATCTAAACAGAAATCATGATTAACCAGTGTCACTTATAACCACTGTCACTTATAAAATTCATGATTATCTAAAATCACAGTTATTCACCGCTAATCCAAACAGACACTTAGTCCCTTAACCAAGTAGTGGGGGTTTGAATCTCATCCTTGAACATGAAAATACTCCAGTAGCTAGTCGTTTGCCCTTAAGTGGAGGTCTCCGTGATGAAGGGATTAGTCACTATTACTGGTGGGGATACCTGTGTAAGCAAAAAAATTAGAAAAGAAAAAAAATTTGAGGCGAAAGTGAAAAGCTGGGAAGCAATACTTATTGTTTGTCCTAAATTCATCTTATATTTCTCGAATTATATTATTGACTTTGATTTTGACATTCTCGTCCCGTTATGTCTCTCTCTTAGCCCAACGCCACAGCCTTCCTGTTGGAGTAACACGGTTTCTCTGGGATTCTCTCTCTGAGATCCGAAAGCTTTTTATTTCATTTCTTCTTTTCCTAGCCCCCTCGGAAGAATTTTCCATTCCCTTCCAATTTCAATCCATCTATTCCATGCTTCTTCATTCGCACCATCTGCTGCACCACCAACTAAGGAATCTTATCCTGCTTTAAAACCCCGAGTATTTCCCAGTATTTTTTGTTCTTTTTCTAGCGCGTTTGAGATTATCGCCATAGTAGATCCTTCAAGATTAGTTTTTTCCCGCTATCTTTAGGCCTATAGCATAGGAAAAATCATACTTCAACGTGATCTGCTGCCTGGGGGTTCTCCAGCTACGTTTTGAGACTTCCGCTGAATTGTCCTGGTTTAGTTATATTGTAATTGTTTCACTCTCTTAAGTTCTTTGGTTTAAATGTAGTGGAATTACAGCATATTTTCCATTGTTTCAACTGTTGTTGCTATTGTAGCCGCCAAACAGTGCGCAATTCCTGTTCTTGTTTGGCTTCCCTTTTAGTTGCAACTTTGTTACAATTGGTTTTCTTTTCCTGCTCTTTTATAGCGTATTTGGACCTTCTCCGTTGCATTTGATGAGACTCTTCTGATCCGGTTGTTGTAGCTCCACTTTATCGTTTCTGGGGCTTTTTTCTGGGTTCGCAAACGGGAAGCGGTGGTTTGGTGATTTGTACTTTGGAGTTGAGAGAAGGGGTTGTTGGGTGCCTCTATTGGCTTATATTTTTGACCGTTTTTATGCTTGGTTCCTACGATGCTGCCTGATCATAGAAGAAAGGTAGAGTTACTCGTCCACGCTTACTTATAGATGTGCATGTGTAATTTAATTTGTATTGGTTATTGACTGATGGTCCTAAAGGAAACTTGGGTGTTTGTGATGAATATATAAAAGAATGATTGATGCTTGATTTGTAATTTCTGCATTTCACGTACCACAAAATTTATTCATGCTTGCTTGAGATTTTCTCCTCTCACAGCACCTAGTATGGCGCTCTAGTTTTCGGCTGATGCATAGCGCAACCGTTTTTTCACCCCGTCTCTATTTGGTAGTATTCTTCTAGTACATGTTTAGGCTTCCCTTTCATATGTTTGCATTGCTATTTGCTGCTACTTATTTCAGGGACCTCCTGGTGCAAATTTTCTATTGTTTTGGACGTAGTTTCCACAGTTATTTACTCTTGTGTCCGCAGACTTCTGGACCCGACTTATTATCATTTTTTTGTAATTGGTCTACCAATCAGTTTGACATTCCAAATTGATTGATGCTTCATTTGGATTTTACTGTTTAAAATTGGATTATTGTCAGTGAATTGTATAAGTATGTCTTAAACTCTCTTTGATTAAATAAACCATATGTGTAGAGTAACATTAATGATTCTCATCCCCTAGTGCTTTGTAGAAGATTTTAGCTTTGCTTTTCCATAGATGGACAAAATTTCAGACACCAACTTTGCAGTATGCCTGTGCATGGAATTTTGTTCTATACATGTGCTTTACCTTTTCTTTTGCTACTAACTGTGCCAAGTTATATGTTTTCTTGTGTTTCTGTAGTCCTCTGTGGATGTAGATTTCTTCACAGAATATGGTGAAGGTAGCAGATATAGAATAGAAGAAGTAATTGGTAAAGGAAGCTATGGTGTTGTTTGCTCTGCATATGATACACACACTGGAGAAAAAGTTGCAATAAAGAAGATCAATGATATATTTGAACATGTATCTGATGCTACCCGCATTCTTCGTGAGATTAAGCTTCTTAGACTCTTGCGTCACCCAGACATTGTGGAGATCAAGCATATATTGTTACCTCCCTCTAGGAGGGAATTCAAAGATATATATGTAGTTTTTGAGCTCATGGAATCTGATCTACATCAGGTCATTAAAGCAAATGATGATTTGACTCCAGAACACTACCAATTTTTTCTCTATCAGCTTCTCCGAGGCTTGAAGTACATTCATACAGGTCATGATCGTTATATATATATGTATGTATATTTTTTTGGGTGAATCATGATTGTTATAGTTCAATGACCTATCTTAGCATTACTACAGTAGCTGTTGTTACTTTTCCTTTTGAATATCAAAGGCTTTAACATAACAAACTAGATGCTAATTTATATGATCATTCTGGCTGATTTTGGACTTCTTAATTGTCTTGTAGCTAATGTTTTTCATCGAGATCTAAAGCCAAAAAACATTTTAGCAAATGCTGACTGTAAACTTAAGATCTGTGACTTTGGTCTTGCCAGAGTAACTTTTAATGACACGCCAACTGCCATATTTTGGACTGTAAGAATTTCCCCATGACTATCATTGTGAATACGTACCTTCTTTCTTTATTTGTCATCTCATCCCCACTTGTTCATGGACAGGATTATGTTGCAACAAGATGGTATAGGGCTCCTGAATTGTGTGGATCCTTTTTCTCCAAGGTGCAGCATGTTTTTCCACTTGTTCATGTTTGTGAAATCAACCTTGAGGATGGTCATTTTGTTTTTCTGTGCATCTCTTAGGCTTATCATCCCATTCTCAGTAAATATATGTGATCATATATGTTTCTGTATCCTAATATTTACTTTTTCCCCCCAGTACACACCAGCCATAGATATTTGGAGTATTGGCTGTATTTTTGCAGAGCTTTTGACTGGAAAACCTCTTTTCCCGGGAAAGAATGTTGTCCATCAGCTAGACCTTATGACTGATCTTCTTGGAACACCATCCCCTGAAGCCATTGCCAGGGTTTGTTGTTTGGTTGCTCTTGCTCATTATTTTCTGCTTTCTTTTTGAGTACTATATTGTTATTTACAAGCTTGTAATTATATTAACAGGTGAGAAATGAGAAAGCTCGGAGATATTTGAGCAGCATGCGAAAGAAGAAGCCGGTTCCTTTGTCCCATAAGTTTCCTAATGCAGATCCCCTGGCTCTTCGTTTGTTAGAAAGAATGCTGGCATTTGAACCCAAGGATCGACCTACAGCTGAAGAGGTTGGCTGATTATCTATGCATCTACGGTTCACCCTCCATGTAACATCTATTTCTGATAGGGCATGTTGTGTTGAATGTCAGGCTTTAGCAGACCCATATTTTAAAGGTTTGGCCAAAGTTGAAAGGGAGCCTTCTGCTCAGCCGGTTAGCAAGATGGAATTTGAATTTGAGAGGCGCAGAATTACTAAGGAAGACGTAAGGGAGCTCATTTATCGAGAGATTTTGGAGTACCATCCAAAGATGCTGAAGGAATATTTAGAGGGAGCAGAGCCAATTAATTTTATGTATCCAAGGTAATGTTGTCTAACCCTATTCTTTGGGATCAAACACTTGCATTTTGTAAATTTTATAAACTACACGGTCAGGGACTTCTGTTGCTTCATATTGTCAGTCAGACTGTTAAGGAGTCTCTATCTCTCTAAGCACACTTCATTGAAAAGAAGAAAGTGTAATTACAAGCTTTAACATGTTTGAGCCTAACAATTTGCTACCTTCCATTATCTAAGATAGAAAAGGTTTGCAAATGTCCTACCAAGTTCAAGGATATGAAGGTGAATTTTTAAATATCTTGAACACATTTGTTTACATCATGGACAGAGTCGGGAACATTTAATCACATGATGTTTATATTGTTATATATGCTAATGCATGGAGAATCCTTATGAGATGACGATTTTTCATGTGTATCCTGTTCATATTTTGTTTTTTTTTTGGGTTTGTACGGGATGATTTCTCATTTCCCATTTCTGTAGTTTCATTTCCTTGTGGTAAATTGTTTCTTTATCAAAAGAAAATATCTTGATTGTTTACCACCAGCGTCACAGCATCTTTTGGTGCTTGATTAGCATGTTATTTGGGGTAGCTACAGATCTTTGCTTATGTTGAAACAGCTATTTTAAAATTGAGTTTCGTGAAGAGCATTATAAGAAAGGAGCGATTTGCTTTAGATATTTAGAGACTTACAGTATGTTGTTGAACAGTGCTGTGGACCACTTCAAGAAGCAATTTGCGTATCTTGAGGAGCACTATGGAAAAGGTGGAACAGTTGCCCCTCCCGAGAGGCAACACGCATCACTACCCAGGTTTCCTTTTAACTATTATCATTGATTTGTTACTGGTTTTCTTCTATGGGGAGTACCTATTCTTGATCTATGAGCTGAGGTTGCGGATAATCTCTCCAATAGCATCTGCCACCTATTTAGGAGCAGTGGTGCACGTGCCTTAACTTTCTCTCGTGCCATAGGATAGTAACTGTGTATGAGTGGGGCTGAAAGGAACGGGGTCTGTATTAAAGAAATAAGGCCTTTATGGTTTGATGGCTTACATTTTTGTGATTATATTCTGTGCTAAACGCACATAGAACACACCTGTACAGTCAATGGTAACATCACAATTTTTTAAAAATAGAATTCAAGGCCCGGATATTGCTACATTCTATGCATGCATTGTCCCTCATCCCTCTCATCATATATCTTTGGATATAAATGTATCTAGAGATCCTTGTCTTTTGAACAGGTGCTCCTTGCTTTTCTTTTGTTCTGCTTCTTGGGCTTGTTTTTCCCCCTGGCTCATACTGTTGCGACTACTCACTTCAGGTGCTGCGGCAAGACCTGGGAAAGTTGTGGGTTCTGTATTGCGATACAACAATTGTGGGGCAGTAGCAACGGCAGATGCTCTTGAACAGCGGAGGATAATTAGAAACCCCTCTGTTCCAGCCCAATATGCTGCTTCAAGTTGTCCATATCCTAGAAGAAACCCAAGCTGTAAAAATGAGAGGGCAGAAGATGAAGGAATTGAAACTTCTAATGGAATGCAGCCAAAACCTCAGTATATGGCAAGAAAAGTTGCTGCTGCTCAAAGTGGAGCTGGTGGTCAGTGGTATTGATTCTGGGTATTTTGAATATGCGGCCAGCCTCTTCCATTTGCCATGCAACTCTGATGTCTAGATTCATGTACGACGCCTTGTCCAAGATTGATCATCTGAATTCAAATATAGGTGGAATAACCTTAAAACCTGAATACTATTATCAAATAGAGAGCTGAAGGAGACTGTAGTCTGAGAAGATTATGGCCGGCATTTCTCACATCTGGCGATCTGCACCAGCAGTTTAAATTTTTGAAGGGGTTCACGTGGTTTGTTTGATGATTTTCTAGACTTTTCGATCCATTCATAACACAGGACATGAAAGGCACGAAAAGCCAAGAAATGGAGGCAGATCAGCTGCTGCCTACAAAACTGAGCTGTTCTCTTCATTGCAGAATTGGCGTTGATCCAAAACCGTCGGCCGTAACAATGCCATGATACCGTATTATTTTTCCTTCTGTTCCAGACATCTGCTTATAGTTCAAATAAGTAAATCTTTCCTTTGAAAATGTACCATGACTTCGTAGAAACTGGTTTTGTGGCAAAGAAGCAAATTTGATACGACTATTATTGTAACTTCAAAGTTCTTCACATTAATTACTTACTAAATTTCTAGATTACAAACAAAAAATTGTCAAGGTGCTTGCCTCTGAAATTCGCAAAGTTTATGGATCAAGTGATGTGGAAGAGTGTAGATATTGCCTTACTGGGAAAGCTTGTTAGTTACCAAAATTTAATCATCCTTACCAATAGGATGATGATGCTCGAGAGTGTGAAGTTGCGATTATTTTGCTTGTTTTGTTGTTAGATGCCCGAGATATGATTACATAATGGCTATATGCTTGATTCGTTTGCAATGCCATATGATCAGTTAACGTAGAGATGATTTTTCGCTAAAGGAAGAACCACCGTGGAGCCTTATCATGCATCATTATCATTGTTCAGAAGGACTTGAAGCCAATTTAACCCCGGAGATTGAAGAGTCATTTGATAGAGGGGGGCAAATCATATAGCCATTGCAAAGCAACTTATGAAGCTTGTTCCGTCCCTTTTGCTTATTCATATGCTACATGACACAATGATCTTCTATGAGACCTCTAATGGTAGCTGGCTAGCTGCAAAAAAAAAAAAAAAAGCTTTACTATTTCTATTAATTCCTCTCGCTATCAAGTCAAGGGATGAACAAAAATGAAGCTCCCTTCGTCTTGGCTCCCATGATCGTCTTTTCTTTCTCTTTTTGCCCTGACGCTTAGCCCGCTGTGATCTTCAGTTCTTCACGATCCAAGGAGCGCCGATTTCTCGTCCAGATTGAGCAAGTATTTGAGAACTTGGGGTCGATGCTGGTAGGAAAAAAAAAATCACACCATATGCTGGATAAGCTTCGAGCAGCGTACCTCTCTTCATGATTCGTCGGCTCTTTTGCACTTCTTCCCCCCACACCAATCTTCACCAGCGTTATTTTCTTTCAATTCCTCACAGAAACTTCCAGAATGCTTGCACCCTCGCGGTTCCTACACTCAGTTCGCTTAGCGAAACTTGCTCCGCTGAAAGATTTCAGAATATCAAATCATTCCAGCGATTTTCTCCTCTGTACTCCCAAATGGCTCATTTTCGGAGGCGCCTATCGGTTTCCATTCCGGCGGTTGACAAAGCCGGTCGGTCTGAGCTGCTTCGTTCTCTCGAATCATCTCTAGGTTCTTCGTTTAGCTCAGACTCGCTCCTCCCGAATCCTAACCCTTTGATTATAGTCATTAGCGGGCCCAGTGGGGTTGGTAAATACGCTGTGATCAAGAAGCTAAAGGAAACTCGAGAGGATCTTCACTTCGTGATCACTGCAACGAGCCGAGCGAAACGAGCCGGTGAAATGGATGGAAAAGACTACTACTTCGTGACCAAGGAGGAGTTTCTTTCCATGGTTGAGCGAGGCGAGCTTATGGAGTACGCACTTGTGTATGGGGATTATAAGGGTGTACCAAAGCAGCAAATTAGAGATTATGTGGGTAAAGGGTATGATATTGTGTTGAGGGTTGATATTCAGGGGGCTCAAACATTGAGGAGAGCTCTTGGTAATTCGGCGGTTTTCATATTTCTTGTGGCTGAAAATGAAATGTCAATGGTCGAGAGGTTGGTAGATAGAAAGACGGAAACTGCAGAATCGCTGCTTGTAAGGGTTGCCTCGGCTAGGGAGGAGGTGAAACATGTTAAAAGGTTTGATTACGTAGTTGTGAATGCAAAAGGGAAGCTTGAGAATGCAGTGAAACAAGTGGAGTCCATTATTGATGCAGAGAAAGCTAAGGTGTGGCCAGGGAATGCTGGAAGATAGTTAAGGTCTTCTGCAGGAATAAGCTTGCGTTGCTCTAAGCCCTTTCTCTAGTATTTCTACACATTTTTCTTTGCCCGCTCTTGTTCCATAACTGGAAATTCCTACTTCTTTCCGTATTCTATAATACGAGTCTTATTCATCTGCCGTTTTTGCCTCATACTAAATCCTTGGTCTTGGGAAGTAAGCCAAGCACAAGGTAAGTTGAGATCACGGATGTATGAACAGATTATAGGGATGACACTTTTCTTTTTTGAGTGAATGGGGATGAACATTTTAGGTCTATTTAACTACGTAAATGGACCATACTTTGTATTGCAGGAAAAGATCACTGTAGTTGGGTCCGAGTTCTCTAATCTTCATGGCGTGCACCTTGTTCATTGAGTCTGTATTCTATAGGCTGTAACATTCTTCTCTTCGGGGTTTCTGCCGCTTAATCAAAATCGGTGACTTCCAATTGAGCCAATCTGTTTGCTCTGTCTTGACTTAGATTTAATCTAGAATGAAAAGTTTTCATTCCATCTTCCCCTTGTCATCCCTCAGCAGTAATACAGCAGATCAGAATAACGTGACCTAGTTCATGGAATTGAACTTTGAATCATGCACAAATAATTTTCTTCATGGGTAGTCCATTCATTATGTAGTAACATAAGGTGCTCGCACATTCCCTCGAGTTGGAAGAGTTCATTGTCAAATTTCAGAAGGAGAATGCCGAAGATTGTGCGTAATTGATAAAAAAGTTTAGAAAAACACCGAGTATTTTAGTCTTGTATATGGACTGATTTGGAATGGTTGTAGCCACTATCTATGATAAGTTTTATCTCAGTTTATGTGATTATGCTTATAAATAGATAATCCAAACAAGCCCTATATGTAGCAAGGTTTTCAGACTGAGTTTGAAGAAAATTATGCCCGAATATTTGCGTGTAATTATAGGTATGATTACAAATAATATATTTCTTCTGATCTTAAATATAAGATTCATTTTGTAGTCTTATATTTAGGATCGGAAGAGTAATATACATTGCTCTGGGTGCTGTTCTGTATATGATGTCAGCAGCTGCAGATCCTGTGGTTGGCATAGAATCCCCCAAACCCATTTGTTACCTAGTTAATCTCTGTTTCCTTTTCTCCGTCCTTTGGTGCTGCTTCTCATTTCTTGCCCCTCAAGCTTCAACGTAGAAAGCTTTGACGGAAGAGTCACACTATTGATGATTGTTGAAGATATCTCTCCATTGCTTAGCTGCAAGACAGTATACGAGGAGGTGATAGAATGGTTTCTGAACTAGACAATCATCTTGATGTTTATGTGGTAATTTAAAACTTGATAATAAATATACACACATGTCCAGATAACATTAATGACTAACGCCGTTGGTTTGCGAACGCGTTTAGGGGTGGACCACTATGCGTGCCATTTCGACCCTTAAAAGGCTCAAACTTTCTGTTGCTTTGGTCGGCATTTTTAGCCTTTGGCCTTCGAATATCAGACTATTCGTGCTTTCAACGGTAACCCAATTCTACAAGCTACAACAACATTATTCATTATCGTTTACGGAAAAAGAAACATAAGAGGAAAAAAGAAAGAGGTTCTTAAAGATTTGACTCACAAGTGGAAGAATAGTCAAATGCTAATCTAAGGCAAGTGATGTGTTATTGTTATAATAAAATAATCACATTCATCTGATTAAATTACTCGCACGTACAATGTCTGGTTGTCACTAATTAAAGTCTTGAAACTATCTCAAGACATTTAGGGAAATGGTCCCACCTTGTTTTGATCTATATTTGAGGTCAAGTCAATGATTGGCTTAATTCTTTCCTATCTTGTCATTTATATAGTCTTCTTCCACGAAGCAAACCCATTTTTCAAATTTAATTTATGTGATGCCCAATAGATGTTGTCACCTAAGTTTCAAGGATCAGAAAGTATCCTTTTCAAGTTTCAACATCACATGAGAAAGAGACAGGTTAACCCCTTGTGGCTACAGAAATAATCCTCACTCTCTTTTTATGCCTCAACTTGTGTTCTATATAATGCCATGTTTCTTGAAATGACAATAACCCAAAGTCCAGAACCAAGTAAACGTAAGACTTGTTGATTTCAATTTTAATAAATTTTTTTTTTGGACTCAATTTTTTTGAATAAATTTAACTATACATCTTTTTCATGTATACCTACATTAACCTACGTAGTTTTGCATAGAGAGCATATTGGATATATGGTCCTAAATTCGATGCTCATATCCAAGAAAGAGAAGGCAACTTTTCCGAGCGACGAGCATAGGAGAGAAAGTAAACCATTTTCCAAGTTAATGGCTGTCTTCTGCTTGCGACTTTTCCCAAGTAACTTCTTCGAACATTAACAGAAAAAGGAACCTTAACGTTACTCTTTCCCCGACATGCCCCCCCCGCCCTCACATCACAATAACGTGCTTGACCATTACTCTTTCTCGTATAATATACACCCACCTATAAACTCCTCCTTTCTCGTCAACACATACCCTTGTCTAAGATCTAATCATAACCCACTTTGCTCTTCGCCATTTTTATATAAGGATTACCTTTTTGTGATCTATGATGAACACAAACTTAAATGCATAACCCACTTTCCAATTCATCGTTTTTCTTTCTCAAACTCTTACCTTTGTGTGATCTCTGATAGATAGATAGATACAACTTTCAGCTCACCACATGGATCACATGCATTCAGGAGAAGAAGGGGGAATCAGTAGCATTAATATACAAGTGCCGGAACTCAGAGAGCCGAGCGGAATAAGCAGTACATGCACCCCCACAATGTCCGAGCAGCAAGAACTTAGCAACGTTGAGAACCGAGCGTCTCCAAAAGCCTCCACGATTCGAGCACCAGAGAAGAAGCTGACTCTCTTTGCCCTGAGGCTCGCATTGCTTGAAAAATCAGCAACAGGTTTAGGAACGCTTGGGTTTATATGGGCCACTGTGGTTCTTCTTGGTGGTTTCGCTATTACACTGGACAAAACCGATTTCTGGTTCGTCACCATCATATTGTTAATCGAAGGGACTAGGATTTTCAGCAGGAGCCACGAGCTTGAGTGGCAGCACCAAGCCACGTGGTCTTTGACTGATGCTGGAATCTACAGTTACAGGATTCTGAGGTCTAGCTCAATGTCCCTCTTTCGAAGTATAAAGAGTCTTTTCAAGCCAATGAAGAAGAACAAGCAGAAACAGAGAGAAATAAAGGCGGAGGAGGTTAATGGGGTAACACCTAAGAAGTGGGACAATCCAAGGACACCAACTAGGACGTGGACAAGCTCAGATGTTCCGTTTCTGCCATATGCCAAGTGGGCTTTTGCTGCTAGACATATCAGTAAGATTCTTTATTGGCTCCAGCTTCTCTCCGCTTCGGCTTGTGTGGTTCTTTCATTGATAAAACTTGTCATGCATAACTATGGAGAGATAGAGAAGGGAGACTCTGATAAGAGAAATAGAGCATCTGCTCTGAATATCTTCTATGCATTAGCTCTGGCTGAGGCTTTGCTGTTTCTGATGGAAAAAGCTTACTGGGAATGGGAGGTTAGGTATTGTAAGCTTTTGGAAGAGGTGAACGCTGAGTGTGAACTGGGGCAATCAGGAATGGTGTCTGTTACAAGATTCTTTTATGATTCTTATTCAAGATGCATCACTGGAAGCGTATTTGATGGCTTGAAAATGGACATGGATAGTTTTGCTATGGAACTTCTGTCTTCAGAATCCCCTGATGAGCAGCTCATCGGGACGAGAATTCTTCGCCAGTTTGCGAAAAGCCAGGAGTCTTCTGATTATACGCTACAAAAGATTGGAATTTCTATATCAGTAATAGAAAGATTGGTTGAGATGTTGAATTTGACAGACTATGAAGAAGAAGAAATAAGACAGTCAGCTGCAGAAATTTTGTCACGACTTGCTGGCAAGAGGCAGAATTCTCTCAGAATAGCTGGAATTCCAGGAGCAATGGAATCTATATCTTCTCTTTTCTACACTAACAGGAACCATATTCCTGCAGCTGATGAAATTGGGGAGAAGAAACTCGTGTTCGATCATCCAAGTTATGGGTTTTGGACATTCAACTTGCTGGGACTAGCAATTCTGAAAAAACTTGCTCGGGATCATGATAATTGTGGGAAGATTGGAAATACAAGAGGCCTGTTGCCAAAGATCATAGATTTCACACGTACTGAAGAAAGGACATTGAAGGATGGAAATGTTCTTGATTCACAAATAAAGACGGTGAAGAGATCTTTACAGTTGGTGAAGATGCTTGCTAACGCAACAGGCACTAACGGGAAGCATCTTAGAAAAGAAATTTCTGAGATAGTTTTCACAATCAGCAACATCAGAGATATATTAAGGGATGGAGAGAAACATCCCGAGCTACAGGAACTTGGGATAGAGATTTTAACCAGTCTTGCATTGGAAGATAATGCAACAGAGAGAATTGGAGGTACTGGTGGGGTGCTTAAGGAATTGTTTAGCTTATTCTTCAAACAAACTCAGAGACGCGTGACAACTGTTGCTGGTGAGGCCCTGGCAATGCTGGTATTAGAAAGCAGAAGTAACTGTCATCGTGTTTTGAAGTTGAATGTATTGGGAAGGCTTGTGGAAGCGTTAAAAGACCCATTGCTTCGCGTCAACGCTGCTAGGATTCTAAGAAATTTATGTATCTACAGTGGACCAGAATACTTCAGCCAGCTAAAGGCAGTGACAAATGCAGCACCGACGGTAAGTGCTATTCTCAGCTTGGTCCTTGTAATTTCACAATTTGCACCGCTCTCTCTCTATCATAGAAGCTTGATTATTTTCGTCCGATCTTGATGATTTTTCCTGCAGATACTTCGAGCAATCTTGTGGGAAGAGAACAAGCTACAAGAAGTGATGGTTGGACTGGCAGCAAATGCTTTCAAGTTCCTAAGTTCTGAAGAATCAAGCATTGTGTATGAAGAAGCTGGAACTGCGGAGGTTAAAATAGCATGTAGACTGGTCCAGATTCTGCAGAAACACCAATATCCACCGACCAAGGTCCCAAGGATAAGGAGGTTTGTGATAGAGTTGGCAATTTGGATGATGAAAGACAACCCAGAAAACATAGCTACTTTCAAGAATCTGGGGATGGAGGAGGTGTTGGAGTGTGTATCAGAGACTACGTCAGAGCTTGAAAGCTTCAATGTCTTCTCTGGTACGGTCGGACTGAACAGGCACAACACAACAATTCATTCCCTGGTTGAGACCGCATTGGAGCTGATGGAAGATAGGTGAAACAATGGAACACACTTTCTTATTTTAGCTCAGAAGTAATTGCATATGTGTGGTTAAACTCTCCATGATCTGGGATAAATACGGGAATGTTTACTTGCGCCATAAGCCTGGAAATCTGGCCTTACAATAAATGACAAGTAGTTATAACTTTCCTCTCCAGAACACGTAAGACGCGAGTCAGAATTTCTAGTCTAAATATAAAAAGAAACTTTCGTAGTTTTGAGTATTTATAGACTTAACAAGTTATTAGCTATTCTTTTTAAATTTAAAGGTATAATATTGATATTTTTATATTGCCTTTAATTAAAACTAAAATGATTAATTAGAATAATATTTTAGTTTTTCACATGAGTAAGAAATACTGTCAACTTATTTGTAATTTGTTAGGATTTAATAGGCATTAATTTTCTTCTAGAATACTTATTTATAATGCTTTTGAGTGTTTTTTGTAATTTCCCCAGTCAACGAATGATTAAAATAACAAATATTTGGCCAAGTTCAACGGGGAATTGAATCGCACCACTCGATAGTTTTGATAGTTTTGATATCTTGTGCCTTGAAGACTCATTTAGCGCAAGAAATAAGAGAGTAATAAGAAAAAAGGAGAATAATGAGATTCATATACGTTGTTAGATGAAAAAGAATCGGCAATTAACTCTGCACACAAGCAACCTATTTCTTAAAGTCTTCTAGTTACAGTAACGATGAAAAATCAACCATTGAGAGAGCATCTCAGCTCATTTACTATTACTGTTCCTGAAAAAATTGAAATCCCAACGACGCATCAAGCCATCTTTAACATGACCTGCTTGATTATTCTTTTCAACTGTTAACGTGGCTTTGGTGTTCTGTGATACGTCAGCGTCAGATGAACTTGGCACACTAGCAAGACTATCACTACTAGCAGAAGAAACACTCGTCTTCAGGGATGAGTTTTTGGCTGGTGAGGTATCAATCGGTGCTCCCCCAGGTAACAAACTTGGTTCAGACGCAAGGTTTTGAGACTTGGCCTCCAAAGCTCCAGACACTTCACCGGCCACATTCGAAATTGGTTCTGCTTTCTCTATGGGCCTAGAAAGCTCTTGTGAAGAAGCCTGTTGATCATCTTTTTGTGACGGCTCTGCAGGCACAGTTCCAACGCCAGGTGGTGATTGCTCTGCCTGGGGATTTCTTATTTCCATGTCTTTGAGTGACTCAATCACGGCTTCCATGAACATCTGGATAATATAAACAAATCAAACAAATTAGAAGAAAGTATTTCTTAAAAAGAATTTCATTATAGATTCAGATTATGTGAAGAGCCACTTAATCTACTCACTCTTTCTTCCTCCTCTGGACAAGATGGAAAACCTGTCAGGTCATCAAGCGCATATTCCACGTATTGATCATCTTCCCATGCGGTTGGAACATGGGGTCCACAGGGATTGCCATTCGACAGTTCAAAGCTAATCATATTGGAAGACGATGAGGAAAGTTCATCATTGGATTTCTCACCCTGCAGTGCGCAAATATCATACCAAAATTGATTAGGCACTGACTCTACTTATTCCGTCTTTCTAGTCTAGTTTATTTTTACTGATCTTCCTCCATCTGAAGCCAGATATCTGGCTTTTATATTTATCACACGAGTGAGGTCAGAGAATGTGACCAAAAAATAAAGGTAAATGATACCTCACGTTCACAGTGTTCATCTTTTGAAGAAATACCAGATGGAACCTGCAGAAAGTCATGCAATATTTCTTAAACAAAACAATAGAAATTAAAACATCATGCCAATAACGTTTGGAAAAAAAAGTTATAACCGTTCAAGGCTTCACCCAGCCGCATCTTTTCTTGCAATGTATTCATGCAATAAGATCTTTAGGGGACATTGTTGGCACTTGGTCTTTGCTAAGGAGGATCGCCTTATCCTCTCTTTTCTTTAAAAAAAAAAAAAAAAAAATTCCAGCCCTTTCTCTTTGTCCTATTATTAAATGGAAAAAAAAAAAGAACAAACAAAGGATACCCAGGAAGGCTTTAGTCTTTCCTAATGCTTCTTTTCCCCCCAATTCGAAGACGCTTACGCCATACACTTTACGCCTCCTAGCCATAGACTTTTTTTTGGATATTTTGGTGACTGTTGGATTGAACCAAAAAGCTTAGAGCATTTTCTGGCTTTCTGCTAAATACTTTTCAGGGTTTCAGGACAAAATAAGAAAGACGAGGTTTTATGCAAACTTTGGACTTTGGAGAGGAATGACAGGACTTTCAACGTTAAATTTTTTGCCCCACTGTAACTGTTCTGAAATGGCATTATCTTGTCAGCTTTCTTGTGGTGGCTTGGCTAATGGTGTTTACATATGGGTATTTCATTCTGCAACAGAACAAAAATGGCACCCTTTTCTCAGTTGAGAGTTGAAACACATATACTTTTCTTTTGGCATTCAGTTTCCAGTTGCGCTCACTTTGAGTTGTTTTAAAGGAAGCCCCAATCAATGTTCATCATTTAACACAAACATACCCATTACCGAACGCAAGATCATTTTTCTTTAGAAGCCACCATAGATCTTCCTAGCCAATTTGTATGTGTTCTATTCTAACAACACACTAAGAATAGAATAAATACAAACCTCCATCCTGCTCATTGGTCTTTTTGAACGGACTTGCCTAATGGCATCAGCTGTACTGCTTGCTGACGGCTCTGCAACTAACAAAGAAATAGTTGAGAAACAGAATAAACATTACCATTAACAAATATAGACCGTGGTTAAAACAGAGCAGTAAAAATAGTTCAGAGATGCAAGGTATCCAGTCATGCCTTTGTGTTCTGATGATGAGGACTCATCATATACCACTTCATTCAGAGATCTCCAACCACCCTGAATATTATAACAGCCAGTCAACAATGGCAAAATGTATAAGGAAGGCACTTCATATTTTAATCAAAACAGATCCATTGAGATGCAGAGCAGTTAATTTACCTTACCGAAGTAATCATTCACAGGGTCAAAAATTGATCCCCCAATTACATCCTCTGGAGGTTGCAAAACGTTGTGAAAAAAGATGTTTATGGAGTCAAAGTAAAACTGAGGACGTGGAGAGTTGTGATCTCCCTCAAATTTAATTATGTTTTTGTCTCCCTACAAAGTATAGACGACCAAGTTAAAAATCCAAAAGGCAGAGTATTTAAAAAAAATGTAAGAAGCCAGGAGACCTAAAAATATCAGCTCTAAGAACCTTAGCAAGTTTATAAGATATCATGACATTCTTAGTACATTGCAGGCTCAACCATACACTCAATGGTTAAAGTAAATGAAAGGGTTGCTAAATATCATGAAAACTTGACCTATGTGGCTAATGTAACATAAGTTCAGTCAACTAAATCACTTGTCAATGGAAAGTTAAAGGTTTCGTTCGGAAACATACCATGTAAGCCTCATATATACGATCTGAATGATGAGGACGTATAAAATCATCATCAATGGCATGCCCCAGTAGAGCAGGAACAAAACAACACTTTGCCACCTACAATAGAGAATGACTTTTTTAAGATAAATAAAGCTAATGTCAAAAGAGAGAATAATAATAAAAAGGATGAGTATTGGATATTTCCCTAGGATTAAAATAGACCAGAGAAAATTTTAAAAGGGCCACCTTAATGGTGTTCAAGTCCACTATGTCAAATTTTGCCTTCTTCTGGATTGCTCTTCGCATGTATTGGATTGCAAATTTCACCTGCAGTAAGAGAAGAGCTTAAAATCAAGTTTTCCCCCATGAATTTATAGCCCCCAATCTAACTTTAAGCGACTACAATTCAGTACACAAACAAATTACAAATGACCAATAAGAAGTCCTCATGGCAATGAAAATCTAATCTCCTGACACAAACAAATCTAATCAATGTAAAGTATTAAAGATACTCAAATACAGTAAACATCATATGCTTGCAACCCAGTAGCAAAACTTATGATTATGTTTTGTAACAGATGCTACATTGCACCGTAAATTAATTTAGAGGGGAAGGATAACCTCTCCTCTAAAAGTTCCAAGGATTGTAGGCGTGTCAGGGAGCTTTCAACATTAAGTTCTAATTATTTGTGACAGCAACAAAAGGTGGTCTACTACCTATCTACCAAGCAAAAAACAGATACCAACTTTTTTAATTAGCAGAGTTCCTAGATCTATCGTACAAATGGATTGATTTGCTTTTTCGACCTAATGGTCTTTTCTATTTGATCCCCTCATCTATAAGAGATTTCATGATCCTTCATCTTCTTATTCTTTATTAACGAACAAAACTCAAAATACCTATAAGCAGAAATAGAATTTTCGATAATGAAATTTCGTGCTACGTGAAAAGAACAAATATACCCACAGTGAACTTTGGCAGACGGACTTTGTATGTGTCAACCAGTTCCATCATCAAATCAACCAAATCAGAGAAGGGACTGTCTAAGACCATCCCGGCAATTGAAGGATCCTCTGCTCCATACATAAGGCTTCAAGGAATAACATTATCATTAATGTTAAAGAAAACTAATTTAGCCAAAACAGAAAATTTGAGGCTCTAGACAATATAGAAGTGTAACTTTTGAGTTGCTGAATAAAAAATTAATGGGCAATACTAGCAAACTTCCAACAAGAGAAACATGTTTGATTTACTAAGGTAAGAAACTCCCATAACTTGTAAACGAACAAAAGACCTTTCAAGTCCCAAATGCTCCCTCTCTAGGTTAAGGACTATTGTTTAAGATGGTTATTATTTTTCATGAATCATTGGTAGATACAACTCCTTCCAAGGAATTTCAGCAACCATCGAGGAGACTGTAATTCTTCCGTAATCATTCCATATGATCATTGTCAAAACTTCAATAAAGTCCCTTCATCTCGAGTCACTCTGGTTCTCATTCTATAAGGACTACAACAAGAGAACCTATGATTATAGGGTTCATTTAATATATCTCAATTTCTAAGTACCATTTAACTACGTGAAGTAACATTACAATCCTCAGCTAGAACCTCATGTATGACCAACAAGCAATTCTTTAACCTTGTTCAAAATGCAAGCTCAAGCAAGCAAGTGAAGCAAACCTAGTGACAGCACCCATGGAGCGGCCCCATAAGCCAATCAAAGAGACACTTCCATCTGCCCTCAGATATTCAACCACAGCCCTCAGATCATCTTTCTAAAAACAGTCAAGAATGTTAGATAACTACCTTGAAGAATGGGAACAAAGCAAGAACTAGAGAAGATTCTTAAAATTCACAGCAGAGAATAGTTTTGATTCTGTTGGGACAGAAACAATATAATAAATAAGACTAACTCAGGAAACTCAAGTAAATGACGAGTGTCAAAATTTTAATGAAAGATAATAGTATTTAGATACATATTTTATACTTATGGATTAGCTTGCTCTCAGAGCTCAATCTTCTTTTGGTTATATTAAGAGGTTTGAATCCCCCACCCCTACCCATAGCGTAATCTTTGGCCTTTACATGTATAGTTCAAGAAATAAACTGTCTTCAACATTCAAGGAAGACCACCGATGTCACAAATTCAGGTATGAGGGGGAAAAAAGAACTTTGGATATCTATATAATATCCCAGTCATCTCCGGTAGGTTAAGACGGATAGAAGAAATGTGACGCTATACCCAATCCTTATATGCCCATCTATCTATCGATTTCCTAATTTTAGTCTCGCATCTCAATGAATAGCCAAATATGATATTGAAATTGCTACACAACTCACTTCATTCCAGCCCAGAGTAACATGCTCCCCTCCAGAAAGTCCAGATCCAGAGAAATCCAAAGTAAAAACTGTAATATTTGAAGGAAGAAGAATTATTGCAGCTTCACTGCCATCCGCCCTGCATCCACTGTCACAAATATTGCACCCAGTCAACACAAAGCTATCAAACTAAGACTATGCAATACAGAACATCCACCAGCTAAAGGCTGCATTTATAGCAATCAGAATTATCAATCCATGATTTTCACGACACAATTTGAAAATATAAGTTCCAGTTTAGCACCCACCATTTGAATTAAAAGAAACAGGTAGATTATACTGAATTCAAGCAAATATTATTCCATGTCAGAAGCTAGCTAACCAAATAAGTACGCATGAGTATCCTGTTTATAACTTCTTTATTTTTAAAATGAGCATGATAACTTTCACAATACAGTTTTTCTGGGTGACACCTCAATCAAACATAACTGATTATGATAAACGACCAAAGTTCAAGGAGAAATCACTAAGCCCACTTCTTTCATAAGGCATCTATAAGGCCGTATCCATGTTAAAATTACTTATTGATATGATAGACACAGTGATAACATAATCCTATTATCAAAACAGTAATGATCAGAATCTTCAAAGCAGTAGAGTCAGAAATGTCCAGAATATGACTGTAAAGATTAAATGTAAGCGTATTAAGCATCAACTTGCACGCTAAACTAAAATAGTCACCTGTTCCCATGGCAATATATTACGCATGGAAGAGGCTTTTCTTCAGGACTGACAATGGGCATGTAATGACTGCATTGAAGAATATCACCCCGACTATTTTTTATCTGCAGAATATTGAATTTACATGAATGGCAGACAAAAGAGGTCGTCAACTCAAATTGATAACAAGTTAAATGAATGCTTTGGTGGAAATTAACAATGGCATCTATAATTCTTAGAACATCACAAACATACATCTTTCATAGGAAATTTTACTAGAACTGAATACACATTCAATAATTCTTGGCCCATTGTGCAAACCACTTAGGCACTAGGTCCATTGTGCATGTACAGAACCTTTAGCATACTATGATCCTAGCCATGCCCGTGGTGCATGTCAACATCAAATCCGCTATGAAGTCAACTATGACCAAGCTAATGAATCTCCGTAATGCCAATTATTGTGTTAGTTATTATCACTTATAATTATATTACATAGAGACATTTTTCTCCCAAATTTTTTTTTTCTTTTTTTGGGGGCCCCGGGGGGTCACAACTAAGAGCTTTTAATGCATTTAAACAAAGATCCGATAGAATTATACCACCATGGTGGATTCAATATTTTGAAGCTCACCTCTACATCCTTCCGTAGATACCATCTTCCTTTCAGCATGAACTCTTGTTCCAATAAATCACTTTTTGGGTCATATTCCGCTCTGCATTCCAATAAATTATACACTCATAACGTCATAATAATTTAAAATGAAGTCATTTTTAAAAAAGATTATATGCCTAAGAGATTGGTTAGGCTGAGGCATGTTGGTAGTAGAAGCCAGGTCATATTTCACCAAAATTTGCAGAGAGAAAACCAAGAAGAGTAGATATCATCATTGTGTGATGGGCATACAAGTCCATGATATGCATAATTTCTACCTCAAAGCCTAACTTGCAACTTAGAATCTTAAAATTTCCTCAGAAGCAGAAGTATTTTCCTTTCCTGATCGTCTTGAAAAGCTTCCTCTTTGGTCAACGAATGTGATGCGATAGCTCCTTTTCTTTTCTTTTATCCTAACACCCAACCGTAAACCTAGAATTGTCAAAAAGAGTACTTTTTTCTTTAAATAAAATGGGGTAATCAAGATTCAGCCGCTGTTTCTTACCAGACACTATTTGATAGATCCCACTTGTGGAACACAGGACAATAAGAACTCATATGGTTAGCATAAACAAACACTGAATTTCAGTTTATATGCAGTGCAATTGAGCTATATCGGCCTAGGAGTGCACTGCTCCATTTGTGCTGCCATGTGAGTGGCAAGATGCATCACATAAACATTATCTTTTCAAGGAAGATCCAAGAAGGGGGTAAAATTCAATATGAAATTGAGATGACACTCCTTAGATAAGATATCTTTTCGTCCAGCGGAGAATTGTTAACTCTAAAATAAGGAATGAAGCAGGGGCCATCAAATGGTCCGTGTGTAAACTAACAGCAGAAAACCAAGAGGAACCTTCACGTAGCTTAAAATTGATCTCGAATAGCGAACCCTCGGGTAGCTTAAGCCAACTTAAAAAGATGCAGTAGACACCCGCCAAATATTAAAATCATTCCGGGTTCTTGGCGAAGAAGCATAAACCATCTATATGCTGAATCTACTTGGGTCCGTTGAAGTGATTCTCTTCCAAATGAGGGGTTGGTTGATTCACGGCCAGGCCAATTCCTCGCAATTCAATTATGGTCACTCAAGTTGGGGCTTTGAAAGGACTCAATCAAATGTTCGAATTCCATCACATTGCAACTCAACAATACCAAACAAATGCAAAAACCCATCTGGGAGTTTAGAACAATAACATATCTTGGCAATATATTTATCATGGGAAATAGGCGGCGAAGATTTGATACCTTGGTGGCCGGATGATGAAGTTCACAAGCTGTTCCATAGATTCAAACGATCAAGACGATGCCTTTCAGCTCTTCAAGATAATATATATCTTCAAAATACATAAATCACGAAAAAAAGAAAAATCGAAGCAGCTCAGGGAAGAAAAAAAAGATAGATTGGAGATGCTCTTGATAAGTGACGACCGTTTTCTTGAAACACAGAAAGTAAAAAAGAAGAGGGGGTTAAAGAAACAGAAAGAAAAGAACCGGCTTTTCTTTATGTTTTGTTGCTGCTATGCTTTCCAATTGTGTTTCTCTCTTTCTTCTTTGAAGGCGTCAAAAAAAGATGTCAGCCTGGCTCGCTGACTGCCTGCCTGGCTCTTCATACGTGCTAACTTCCTCCTGAGTAATAGTATGGGATGGATGTGTGGGCCTCTCTCACACGTGGCAACTTCTCATTTCGGCTCTTCTGTTCAATGGGGTCTTCCAGTTTCTTTTCGAATTGAATCCCTCATCTCGATTTGGTCTCCTCCCACTTTGAACCGTTTCCCTACTTGTACTACTTTATCCCCTGACGTTATGCATCTTTTTCTGTCAAATTGAGATTGAACATAGCTATCTCGGCTCAAAAAAAAGATTGAACATAACTATAAAACTACAGTATTTATTTAAAAGAATTACGATGATAGTTCTTGAATCTGAACTTCATCATATCTCCAGACCCAAAAAGATTGATTTTTTCAACAAATTTTTTATGGTTAGAGTTTCACTTAGTTATAATTTATATCCGTTAATAGAAATTTTAAAGGAAAAATCATAAGTTATTCAACCACTTGTTAAGAATGGTAAGCGAAAAACGAGCAAGCAGCAAATTAACGAGGAAGAGGAAATGAGAAGATAAAGGAACAAGCAAGGTCATAATCAAATACTCCTCCCGTCCTTAATATAAGACTCATTTAACTAATTTGATTAGATAAAAAAAGTTAGGTAAGTTAGTTAATTATAAGAAAAGTGACACATTTTTCCTAAAACACCACAATCATCTTTCTTAATACCCCATCTCCCTCTTCTATTTGATTATGGTTGAGGGAATATCCATAGGGGTAATTTAAAGAAAATTGATAAATATAATAAATGTGTCTTATATTTAGGACCAAAACCAATTCAAAAATTGGGTCTTATATTAATGACCAGAGGAGTAATATTAAATTAAAAAGAAGGTGTTTGAACAGAAACAAAACCATGATTTTAAAAATAATTTTACAATATACAAAGTAAATACATGAATTAGTGTGTTTCGATTTGCGAAAAAATGATTTTAAAAAGCATTTTTATATCTTCTCAAACACCTCCAAAATTCAAAAACCTTCCTCGCAGCTTGAAAATGATTATGATTGGGAAGTGTTACCCACCATTGCCAACGGTGCTGCATCACTAAGTCTCTCTCCCTCTCTCTCACTGACACACTCACATTCAGAATATATGTAATGCATAATCACAAGCTCTTTGTGGGAATATGTCAAATCATCACAAATTATGAGTGTCTGATCTCTCAAAGGAATCACTGAACATGATCATATAATTAAGATTTTGAAGAAGGAACAAAATATCAAGCATGAGCTTGCCATGATTAAGGTTTGGTTTCAATCATTTACCATTGTCTGCCACGCACTTTTTTCCGATTCCTCCCCCATGTTTGTTTCCACACGTGCTTTCCACAAAATGTTAAGGAAAAAATAATAATAAAATGGTATAATCAAGTGAAGTGTTTGGTACCACAAAATGTTCGGGAATGGAGGCTTCAAATGTGGCAATGGGGCATGCGCTCGTTATTCTTATGTTTGGAACTTTCGACTCAATTGAAAAGTTCCAAAGTGGTATGTGTCAAGATTTAATGTATGTAGCAAAAACCCAATTGGCATTGTCTCCAATTTGACTAATTCATAACTGATCGAGAAAAGGGGAAATAATGAGGGTGATTTTGCAAATGAAAGCACAAGGTTTTGATTAGGCGTGACAGAAGAAACACAATGGCGGGGGTCCACTCAAACCAATTCAAATTAATGAATCAGCCTAATAAAGAACAAGCGAGAGTGTGATACAATAGATGATCATTCTCAATTTATCACCAAAATGACAGTGAACAAAAATGAGAATTGGTTGATGTTGAAGATTTTGTGGTAATTACAGTAGTAGCAGCAGATTGGTAAGACCGCCAAAATGAGAGTGAAGGAACAAAGTGAGAATTTGTGTCTTTTTTTCTTATTTGGGAATGGGCAAAATGATATCATAAGAAATACGGTTCTACAAGACAGAAAAAGAAGGATGACAGAGATTAGGTACATAAAACAGAGAGGATTCAGCTAACTTAACACACAGGTTTGAGAAAGAAAATGGTGTAAGGAGAAAATATCTTGCCACATTAAATATCTGCAGCAGCTCAACAAAGTGAGAATTGGCTGAGAGTGTTGTCGGACCTCGAGGACTGAGACAAGTACAATATGTAGCTAACAGTGAGAACTGGGATTTACCAATATTAGATCCCACAACAACGACGACGACGAATCATTCAATATTACATCCCAGTATCCCACAAAATACGTCTTTTGTTTTAATGAGGAAAGAAACAGAGGAGGGGGCATCCTGATATCACGTGACTAGCTATCATATCATGGAAGGGATGTGTCATGAAAATGTACTGTAATGAAGCCACGTGGCCAATTCATCGCCTCCTCCTTATTTTCAAATCTGCTCTCCAAATGAACATCAAGTGTAAACTAAAAGTCACCTCTCTCTCTCTATATATATATATATATATTTCCCCTCAAAAACAAATCAAAATAAAGATGCCTCTCCCCATTAGATTTTCGTATGCATGAATCAGAAACCGAAAAGAAACTTATGTTGCTCGGGCAAATGTAAGTTGGCAACAAAAAACAAAAAATACTAACTCTGAAAAAAAATAACTCTGATAATTAATATAAAATTTGCTTAACTTGTATAGATTAAAAAAATAATTAAATTAGTTATTTATAAAAAAATATTTGTTGAGTTCCTAAAATATCCTCTTAAATCATCATTTAGACTAAAACTGTTATAATTAATAGGATTAATTGGGATAAATAAAAAAAAGCTTGAACTCTTATATTTAGAATTAAATTTAATCTTCTACTAACTCTTATAAACTCTTATATTAAGATAGTATAATTTACCACCACTTTGAAAGAATGTAGCTTCAACATGTATGTGTGTGTGTGTGTGTGAATTAAGAACTGAAATGTTGGCAAAAAAAAAAAGAACTGAAATTTGCGGGCCATCAAAACGAGACGCGTGTGCACATGAAAAGGAAAAATTTGAGAATCATATATCACTTTCTGACAGATACTCTTTATCCCGTTCTACGTATTATGTGGTCATTTGGGACTGACAGGGCAATTTCCACTATACTCTCCTAAATATATAAAATACATTTGTAGCTATTTTAAAATCATCAATTTTGTTTATATAAACGGTGAAAAAATTAAAACTATTCATATTTTTTCTGGTGTGTTGCTAATGTCATTATTCACAAAACTAAAATGATAAAAATTAAATTAATTATTGAGCTAAATAAAGTACTAGTACAAGACCCTTCCCTTTTTTATTTTAACCACGGATCCTAACACTAATTAACGCAAATAATTACATGGACAGTCACCAACGGGAATTGGGTAGCAGAAGGGGCTAATTCCTCATAATGTGACGAATCAAGATTCGAATTTTCATTTGAAGGAGTGTTCATATTTAGTGCGTGACAGTGTCTTGAATAGGATTGCTCCTAACAGAAGGACACTTATGTTTTTTTTAAAAAAAAAATTACATGGGCAGTCAATGTATTTATGGCAGATGAGTACTCCTACTCTTCACGTCTACAAGTACAACTATGCGAATTTGTAGGCATGTTTTAACGGCGGATAAACTCAACTGCTACTCTACCTTTGAATTAAGTTTTCTAGTTCTCTTTTTGCTTTCTACTCGTAGTAATTCTAATTCTCTCTTCCTTCGACTCTTTGCAATGATTTTCTTATGCTACTTCTAAGCAGATTTCAGAATTCTGCACTTTGCTGAATCCCATTAACTGTGCCATTCACAGTTTTTGAGTTCACAATGCATGATTCCTTAAGTAAATGTGTTGCCTCCTGAGACAAAGAATCGCCTGCTCAAAATATCATTTTGGACTTTACCGGTAAGACTGATTTATATCAGTAGATAAATGACAAAGTGCGAGTTTTTCTGTCGTTGTTGTTTCTGAGACCTGCTATCAAAAAAACCTGTCATTACGCAGGAATTCTAAGTAATGTTGGGTGTATAATTGAGGGTGTAGAAAAAGATGTTAAAAGAACCTTATCCATATATCTAAATAAACATATGTTATGAGCCCAGGCTTCTCTCTTGGCAGCCATTAAAGCAGCGAAAACTAATTTCGCCCACTCATAGTGCATCCCTATCTGTTTTGGAAAAGCCAAGAGATCATTCTATTTCACACCACTCTCTCTTATTGTTTTTAGTCTCCCCCACCACTCTCTGTATCTGACACACTCGGACACAGGGCCATATTCCAGTTGAAGGAGCTCCTGTCTTGGTCCTTCTTCAGGTGATTTCTATTTAAAGCTCTTTCTTGACGAATCGTTTATGGGCGTTTTTCTTTTCGTTCTGGGTTTCGCTGGCTACCTTCTTGAATCTGGGTACGGTTAAGGATTTCGTCATACTTGACGCAGTCTCATTGCTAACTAGCATGTGTTTTAGATATAGATCCTTAATTACTAATTGCTAAAACCATTACCGTATCTTCAGTTACGAAAGGATTTTCCAGTTGAAGAGAATGCGTGCTGTCGAGTATGATCAACATTGAGTTCTTTACATGTTGCATAATTTATGTGCTTGATTCTGATTACGGCATTGTTTTGTGTCATTAAAATTGACTTCTTTTTTGGTATTATGTTCAGTGAGGAGCAAACATGGCACAGATTCTGGCACCGTCTATACAATGGCAGATGAAGATCACTAAAAGCTCTCACAAAGCAAGTCCCATTACATCAAACATGTGGGGTTCTTTGCTGGTGAGACATGATAAGAAAGGAGCACCTACCAACTCCGCCAAGTTCAGAGCTCTGGCGATCAAGGCTGAAAGTGGCGTCGTTAACAGGATAGAGAAGTTACTTAACATGGACATCACTCCATACACTGATAAGATAATTGCTGAGTACATTTGGTATTTATATCACTCTATCTTCTCTTTTCTTTCTTTCTCACTTTGCTCTCTCATGCATGTGCCTGGATTTTAAATCTTAAAATACAGTTGTATTAGTCATAAAACCTCTTCACGTGGTTCGGTTATGATATGGTGTTTTCTTTATCCTTGTTCTTAATGAGCACAACTATGCATATTATTTTGAAATAGGGTTGGAGGGACAGGAATTGATGTGCGCAGCAAATCAAGGGTATGTTATTTCTGAACTGTAAATAGGCTCGGAGAAGGTGTTATTTGATTTTCTGTGAGAATCTATTCTATTTTTAAAATTTCAGACAATACCAAAGCCCGTTGAGCATCCCTCTGAGCTTCCTAAGTGGAACTATGATGGATCTAGCACTGGACAAGCACCAGGTGAAGACAGTGAAGTAATCCTATAGTAAGAAGTTTGGTAACTTGTACTTCTTTTGATGGACACTTTATATTTATCACCGGTTGATTTTAAATTTCTTTCTCTCTTTCAGTCCTCAAGCAATTTTTAAAGATCCCTTCCGCGGTGGAAACAACATTTTGGTAAGAGCTGTGATATTTGAAATAGATCTGATGATATATTGGTTGAAATTGAGATGCAGATATCATGAGGCTTTTTTGTAATGTATTGCTTTTTTAAAGGTAATTTGTGATTCTTATACACCAGCTGGAGAGCCTATCCCAACAAACAAACGACACAGAGCTGCTGAAATCCTTAGTAACCCAAAGGTCATAGCCGAAGTTCCATGGTACGCATTTCTCCTGATTTTTTTTTAATTTCCATTTGAATTTCACAGGCCAAGAAAACTTCTAGTGTAATACTCTCTATGAAATTTTCTAAATAATTTTGAAGCTAAATAACTGCTACTAGGTATTTCACTCTAGCATACACAAATCTAGAGGTAATTTCTCAGAAAAATCACCATTTTAGTATATGATCATAAAGATTGATATTGCCAACAAATATCCTGATATGTCTAGTATTTCTCCTCCGGCGGTGATTGCTGATACTTAGACATGAAAAGTATCCACCTTCGTTGAAACACCTACCTGATCATATGACAACTGAACTGTTGGTTTTGAATCATGACCTCAAGACAGAACACATGCTAATTTCTGTATTGTTTGTTCCAAGGTATGGAATAGAACAAGAGTACACCTTACTTCAATCAAATGTGAAATGGCCTTTGGGTTGGCCAGTTGGAGCTTATCCTGGTCCTCAGGTAATGTCAATTATCGTATTCACCTGTCAATTGTCATTCAGATGTTACAAGAATCCGTGATATTATGGGATGAATTTAATTTAAGTAAATTTCCTATATTAGGGTCCTTATTACTGCAGTGCGGGGGCAGACAAGTCTTTTGGCCGTGATATATCAGATGCTCATTACAAGGCTTGCCTATATGCTGGAATTAACATCAGTGGAACCAATGGGGAAGTTATGCCTGGGCAGGTTCTCTTCTCACCATTCCATTTTTTTTAAGGATGATGAGTCTATGATCTTAAGTTTTCTCGCTGTTGCTTTCATTACTATTGCAGTGGGAGTATCAAGTTGGTCCTAGTGTAGGGATTGAAGCTGGCGATCATATCTGGTGTTCAAGGTACATCCTTGAGGTAACAATTCTACCCAATTCTAGCTATACATATGAAGACCTATGGACCATTTAAAAAAAAAATTTTTTTTAAGACCTTGAAGGTGTCAGTCGGCCATTGTGATCATAGCACAACATATTGTGTTTGTTTATTTCCATTAAATATGCTGCATTTTTTTTTCTTTTCTGACAGAGAATTACTGAACAAGCTGGTGTTGTCCTCACACTTGATCCAAAACCAATTGAGGTACCGTAATGCAAAAATGAAAGCCTGCATCCTTCGTTGATAATTATCTTAAGTGTTTTTCTTTTTTGGTGACAGGGTGACTGGAATGGTGCTGGATGCCACACTAATTTCAGGTTTCTCAACTTCGCCATTAATCACAATATCACGTCTTAGTAACTTCATAAATTACTGAGGTGTTAAACTGTTATTGACTTCGTAGTACCAAGAGCATGAGGGAAGATGGAGGCTATGAGGTAATAAAGAAGGCAATTTTAAACCTCTCACTTCGCCACCTGGAGCACATAAGTGCTTATGGAGAAGGGAATGAGAGAAGGTTAACAGGAAAGCATGAGACAGCCAGCATTGACACATTTTCTTGGGTATGCTTGATACTATCAATACCTTTACTGGTGCAAAGACTAACAGTTTAAAGAACCAACAGTGCAACATTTTTTGAAATATTCTCATAAAATAAAATTTGCAGGGAGTGGCTAATCGTGGTTGCTCTATACGCGTGGGTAGAGACACAGAGCAGAAAGGAAAAGGTAACATTCTCAACTAGGTGCTTTGTGGTAGCTATGCTTAACTCTTCTTGAACAATAGAAAGAAACATAAAGATTCATATTTTTATTTGAATTAGGAGCTTTAATAACTATTCTAGACTGACTAACTTCAAGAACTTTTGGACCGACACTGCCTTGCTATGTCACTGTGGCCCCCTTTTCAATGATTTACGTGCTTTGTTATCTACCAATAAGCATTTTGTTCACTGTAAATTGTCTGTAAGTTAGCCCTCTATTTATTGGTTTACCTTGTCCATCTTCTTGGTTGTAGGCTACTTGGAAGACCGACGTCCCGCTTCAAACATGGACCCATATGTTGTGACCTCATTACTGGCAGAAACTACATTGTTGTGGGAACCAACACTGGAGGCTGAAGCTCTTGCGGCTCAGAAGTTGTCACTGAAGGTCTAGCTTGTTTGACTGGTGGTATTCTGGGTTGAGAGAGTCTCTTGGTGTTATTTCGGGTGGGTTCTGGAAAGCTCTTCCACTTTCATCTTTGTTCAGACTCTAGAAAAGATCTTGTCTAGACAGAAGTTAAGAGTTGAGGGGCTGCAATTCTAGTTTATGAGTTTGTCGGGCGAGACCCCTATTATATAGATCAGAAATATCCTTGGCTGTACTAGTTTCTGGTTAAATTTTCATCGATGATTATATTCAAGTCTAAGACCTCATCAATAAGCAGCCATGTTATTAGCCCTTTTCATTCTGTTTTGATTATTACTGATGTGTTGCTTCCCTTTCTATCCTTATACATACAATAGGAGTGCCTTTTGCTTATAGTTTATGCTATCTATACCCAGAGCTCACTTTTTATTTCGGCTGGTAATAAGCCCAGCATAACAACTAAGGATCCTTAAATCAATTACGGTATACAGACTTTTCTTTTTGTTTGATCTATAATCGACGGTGGAAAGATTCCAGAAAAAAGCGGTGGACTGATTATTATTATTATTACAGAATAAAAGAAGATAAAACAGGATGTAGAAAAGATTCCTTCCCTCCTTCTTGAGGAAGGCTAGAAATGCATGGAAAGGAATATAAGCCGTTTCTTTCTATCGAAGAAAATCATTTCAATGGTGACAGCAATGGAGAACCTTGTAGCTGGACTACCTTTCTATATTATATTTCCTGATAAATACGAAGAACATGGCTTTGCTTATATATGGACACATCGCAGCTCGGGCAGTGTCATCAATTTCAGGTTTTTGAGCTTCTATCACCATGGCTTCAGGAGGATCCAAATCCGTAGCCAGCATCCTCTTAGCACTAAATTTAGTGCTGTATTTGGTTATCACTGTAATTGCTTCATGGGCAGTGAATCATGGGGTTGACCGTTCTCGTGAAACAGGTGCAGAGCATTTCTCCTCTTTCTTAAATATACTTGCATCATTCTTCGAAATCATAGTAATTATGAAATAATCATATACTCGAAAAAATTTAGGATGCCTTGAATAACATATGGTGGACATGCCATAATATTGTATATATGGATTTTGCAGCATCTAGGTTGCCGATTCCAGCTCGGATATTCCCAATATACTTCCCAATAGGAAATAACATGGCAACTGGGTTCTTCATAATATTCAGTCTAATAGCTGGGGTTGTGGGCGCCACCACCTCACTTACTGGATTACATAACCTTTCTCAATGGAATGCCCCAAACTTAAACGCAGCAGCTGTATCTTCATTCACAACTTGGGCACTCACTGTTCTAGCCATGGGGTGAGTCTTTCATTTTTCATGTTGTTTCAGTGAATCCTTTTACATAAATTATCTACGAATCATATGGTTTTTAACGTTTTTATCTGGTACAGATTTGCATGCAAGGAGATTGAGCTTGGCTGGACAGACTCTAACCTGGTAAGTAGTTGTTGCTTCAATTCTGTCTTAAGAAAAAGGTTATTATCTGTAATAACCAGGCTAACAGCCATTGTTGTTATTGTTTTGTTTGGTTTGGTTTGGCAGCGCACCTTAGAAATATTCACAATAATTGTAACAGCGACACAAATGTTATGCACGGGTGTTATCCACGTTGGAGTTTCTGAGGCTCCAAGCATCACATACTGAGCCTCACTTTCATATCAAACATTCACACTCCTCAATCCAATGCTTCTGGACTTTATATTTTGAGACTTTCTTATCGTTCTTATCTTCGTTATTATTTCATTGTTGGACGAAAGAGTTGAATTATTCGCTGTCTTGTATTTTCTTGGCGTCGATTTGATTATGGAATGCGTGATCTATCAAATTTGCTACCAGTTATTCGATGGAACTCAAAATAGAGGCTTGCTCGTGTAAATTATGAAGTAATCTGTTTATTTCGAGTGATAAGCATTTCAATTACTGGCCAAAAACACTAAAAAGGCTAGTGGGGGCATTCCGAGAATCGAACTCGGGACCTCTCGCACCCAAAGCGAGAATCATACCACTAGACCAAATGCCCGCTTGCATGGTTGCCCCCTTTAATTTTACTATAGTCAAAACAAATTTTTAACAAGTTACATCCACGTCCGCATCTCAAGTCATCCTAGTACGAGTCAATTAAGGACTTGCCGTCATCTTATGACGAGTCAACAGAAACTATTAATTTAAGATGTGTTGAGCGAAAATAAATGGTTAGAAATTTACATATAACTTGAATAATAAAAGGAATGAAATATAGAAAATAATTGAATGTTCAAAATGATAACAAGAAAAATTAAAAGGCAAAAATAAATTTTTAAGGAAAAAAAATTAAAGACTCACAATAGCTAAAAGCCACTGATTAAAAAAAAGAGAGAGAAAAACCAGAAATAAATATTTAAAACAAAATGGAACATAAAAATATTTTCTTCTAAATGAAGGAATCCTTCAATCAAGAGATTATCTTGCACACATCCAGCTTAAAATTTGATGATCTGAAATATCAAACTCGCCAAGATTTCAGTCCGTTACTAGCAAACATTTGGTTTTGATTCTGCTTGGGGATTCTCTTCGATGTCATTTACTCAATCCTCAGCATAAAATCGCGGATCATGCAATCTTCACCTTTATTGGTGACGACAAAAGGATAAGGAGTGATAAACTACTCAAACAATTGCAGAATGCACCCCCTTGCCCAAATGTCTTTTTACTGTAGTAGTTAGGTATGTCGCTATGCCAAGGAATATTTATCAGCTAAAACAGTGTTCTATACACCACAAATTATAAGATAATTCAACCAGCAAAATACGGCGACCAGGAAAAAGTGGAGGTAAATGACCAGATCCACATAGGAAATATGGCACAATTAAATCAACGCAACTAGAACCGTTGAGTTTTACAAGATATTAACGCAACGTCAACTGCAAGGGAATACTAAAGATGGGATAGAGCATCACAGTGCTTCCCTCATGAATATATAATACACATATCCAACCAAGAAGGCAGTATTTCATTTATTTTGGCAGTATGACTAAATTCTAGTTGTTCCCCTCCCTCAGCATCCTCATGATGGTGAGGAAGAGGTTCAGAATGTCAAGATAAAGAGTGACTGAGGCACCAATGTACTCGTCATAAGTAAAACGCTTGATCAGGTTGTCAGTATCATAGACAATGTACCCACTGAAAATCATGGCACCGATTCCACCATAAATAGCATTTGCTGTTGGTCCAAGAGGGAAGAACATCTACCAAAAAAAAAAAAGACATTAAGTCTCATGTCAAACCAATGTAGCAAGAATTCTGTATATGCAAACTTACAGAGAGCAGAGGCCATGAGAAAACTGGATACCATCCTTAACATAACCGCATAAGTCTTTTTTTTTTTTTTTTTTTTTTTTAAGTGTACTCACAAGAGTCTGATACAAAACGAATAGCAATTATGAAATGCGAAAGAATATCAAACCTGCATCATGCCAGTGAGGAAGAGGGTAAAGAGACAGGAGAACAATATAGGACCAAGGTAGCTGAAATCCTTGCCCCTCTTTGAAGCCCAGAAGGTGTAGCCAGTTAGAGAGAAAACCACAGCCGACGTCAAAATCAATGCTTCAAGGACAATTTTTCCTGCAGGCACCGCACCGAGATATAGTCAGATAAATGATAATGTGATTACCCCACGAACAGGAAGAGGGTAATGTAGAAAACAGGTTTGACGTCCAACAGGAAACATAAATTTAGAATATGTCATTTGGGGGATGGGGGGAATCATTACATCTGACAATTGAGGAGAAAGATACCGACCACTGGTGTTTGCGCAGGTTATTCCTACAGTCAAGCTTATAGACACGGTGAAAAGTCCAAGCAGAATGTAGTTATGAGGATGTTTTTGCTGGTACTTCAGCAAAGGAAGCAAGACTGCAAGAGAGAATTCATAGTCATTTGTATATGTAAGCATATTAGCTCAATTAAAAGAGTTTTCCACCAATGAATATATGAATGATAAATACCTTTGTTAATTCTTTGCAAATTATGACATTAAAAGTTAGGAGGATTACAATACAATAGCAGAGAAAAGAAATAAATCACTCAATGGCACCTCATACGACTCTTAAAAGAGAAGCAGTCATAAGAAATGCATTCAACACGTCAAATTGTAATTTGAAGCACACAAATAGAGTGGTCTCGAGAAGCATTTAGCGCGTGCAAGAACTCCGGGGAAAGAAAAAAACTTTATGCTCGTAAATATCAAAATATCAGAGAAACGCCAGCGGTAAAGACAAAACTAAGCATCAATGACAATTCTATCGCGATACAATGTTAAATTCACCGAAGCACAATATACAAAAAAAAGAGAAAGGCGTAAAATTATAAATTGTATCAAAGAGAATTCGTCCAAACCCATCAACACATCAGAAAACCTGGGTATATTGGAAAGAAAACAAGAGGACATGGGAAGAGAGCGAAACCCTAGATAAAAATTGGAGAAATGAAACGATTTTTTTTTTAATAGAAAAGGCCAGATGACATGAGGGGGCAAAGAAAAGTCAAAATTCTTGGCAGATCAGAGAGAAATCAAAAGTACACAAGAAAAAAAAGAGAAATCCTTGACAAAATCAGAAATACAGGCAACAATCCCACGGAAACACACAGGAAATTAATACAAAAATGAGCAGATCGGGAAGGAAACGTACAGATAAAGGGAAGGAAGATGACAAAGAGGAGAAGGCCGGAGTTTCCCCTGAGAAGATCATTGACGGGGGTGTAGAAGACGGTGACGAAGGAGACAACGGTGGTGAGGAGGAGCTGGAAAGAGAGGATGCCATAGACCTTGCGGATGAAGCCCCAACGAAGCTGGTTCTCGGCGGGGCTGAGACCGGGGTACAGAACCTCCCCTGACTCGAGGTCGTAATCGGCCTTGCTGCTTACGCTCGCGTATCCCTGCATCGTTTTCCCTCTCTTCTCTGGGCCTCCCTCTCTCAATCCCTATGGAACTCGGAGGAGATTTCTGAGTCAAACGCGATGGGAATGCAAGGAAATATATTCCTTTTTTATGGTTCCTTTTTTCCTTTTTAACTCTTAACTATTAAGACATTTCTTCTTTGCCGCCTCGCCTTACAGCCCTTACTTTCACTTCCTTTTTTTTTTAATAAGATATTTTTTACCTCAACTTTGATATGGTATTTAACTATTTATATAATCTTTCATAGGTGGGCACTAAAAATTCGCCTAAAATATTTTTTTTAAATGCTTTGAAATGCTAAAAAAATTAGGGTGAGCAGATATATTTGCGTTGATGTGAAAAGATTTGAAGTTTTATTATCAGTCACAATGGTTATTGAGAAAATTTCACATTCATATCATTTAACTGAATTCTATTTAAATTAATTAAATATGAGGCTAACTTATTTAAGCTTTAAAAATAAGTACTAATTTTTAGATAATTTAGAGATTTTATGAAAGTAAATATTTTATAAAATACAATATCTTGCAGGGTTTATAGGTCAACTCTTGCAGGAGGGAGACAAAGTCAACAATACCATCTGACATTATGACCTTGGTATTATTCACAATTCCTCCAGCGTTATTACTCAACATTAAATTAAGAGTGCTACTTTATTATTATAATAATGCCAGTCTACATTCACTGGCTTTTGCTCAAAGCTTCAGACCACATCTGCTTAGTATTTAATTATCCATGAGCTGTTATCTATAGGCCATTGATCACGACAAATGACCTACTTTGTTCCGCATCATGCATCATACAATAACGTCCGAAAAAGAAAGACAATTTGTTACAGTTACTCCAATATACAAAAGCATATATGCTGCAAGAGATTCAGAGATGATAACTTCTATCATACGGTTTACTTTTCCGATGCTCGGCTCTTCATTCCAGGAAAAAGAATTGTAATACCTCCATGGATTGGATTCAAGAGGTGTGCAGGTAGAGAACTGGAGATACACTATATATCAAAATCCAACTTCTAAGAATAACCTCCCTGAAAGAGATATAAACTATAATAACCCCCCTGAAAGAGATATAAATTATAATAGGAAAGAAAATACCAGCATGAGTAATTGAGTATGCACATAAAAACTTTTCTGCTAGTAAAAGAACGATGTGATAAAAGCCGTCTACTTCTCGCTATACTCTCAGCCCTGATTACAACATCAGAACAGTTTCTAGTGCGCAGGTATTCAAAGCACTCAATTAGGACCATAATGAAAATGCAAAGCAGTTTTCTCGAAAGTACATTGGAATGGCTTCTATAGATAGTTATGATATATAGTCAGGAAAATAACAAACATTAGGGGAGCTTTCAAATACCTTAGGCCGAAACACCTGAACCAAGAGGAAGTGGAAGTTGGAAAAAAAATGATTGATGCATCCCCTTCATCAGATCTGATATCATTATATGAATCTGAAATGATGTTTTAACATTAATGCAAAGTTTTGAATAAAAAAATGGCATATTCCTTAATTCTCACTTCTCCTTGTCAAAACCACAATCTGTGCTTAAGGGTGGCAGGAGAAGGTGAAGAATCTGCCCGTTTACTGCAATCTCCAGCAACTTATATTCGAAGCAGCCCCTTTCACATTGACCAGAGTACCGGCATGACAATCAAAACCTATCCATGATTCGTAACCAAGGGAAACCACCATGCCATGACCTAGAGGCCCCACACTAAAGCTGCATATGACAAGAACCTCATTGTACACTGTTAACTCACCCATTTCAGTTTTATCACAAAAAGCTGATAACAACTAACGATGTTCAACGACATGAAATCAATCCATAAAATCAGGAAATTATAACCCAAAATCTGAGTTTGGATGGTGACTACTAGCATTGTCAAACAAATGACTTCAAATCAGTTCTTAGTTAAGAAATATCTGGTCTTCAAATCTCTAGAGAGCTACCAAAAAGTAGTTATATTCTTTGACCATACTAATGTCACTGATGCACATGAAGTTGCAGGCAAATGAAGGGAAAGTGTAGAAATGAATCTCAATAGTCATTTTCCCCCTGAGTGTTCAATAGCGCCATACAAAGAAAATGCCATGCATAAAATAAAATCATTAGGTCCAAAGAAACAAAAATGTCACGAGAAAAGATCAACTCTGAAGCACAACCTTTTCAAAAGTAAATGAAGTTATGGCACATGAACAAGCAAAAACCCTTTCATAATTCGCATAATTGTTTTCACTGGCAATAGATTTAGAATCAATAGTTTGCCTAAACCGAAAATTCACAAACTTTCCAAGGCCATATGCTCAGTTGGCCAACCAGACCAAGCACTTAATAATAAAAAGTATTAAAAAGGAAAAACAGAGAGAAAAGGGGGAAGAAAAAAAAAAAACCCAAAATTCAATAATCTCAACGAGTTGCTAGATTCACACCAGACTTATTTTCAGCATGGCGGTAGAGTACTTAAGTTTAAATGCACATGAAACTAGATGCTTATGGCAAGCGATTTATTAAAGGGAAAAAAAGAAAATAACTCATGATATCTATAAGATCAAGGGTTCTGGCGTTCTGCACAGCATTTTGAACATAGAATTAAAGCAATAGGAAATAACAAAAGGTGATGAAATTTTTTAATGAGGACTGATTCTTATCACAAAAACAATTTCTCCTTCCAGCCGGAACAGATTATCTTCATAATTAACCACTCCTTCACGATGAACTAAACAATTGCATCATGGGAAGTTTCAAGATGATTATGATTTCTCATATGTTATTGAAACCCCTATACATCCTTCTTCATGGTCTCTAATAATAATGGAAAATACAAACAACACAAAAAGCCAGATCTATCAATTTCTTTCTAAAATCCTCTCCAAACATGTTTCAGCAAAACTGAAGTTTTTCTCGCCAAATTTCCTCACTAAAGACTTTATCATGTTTTCTTGTAGCATATATCCTATTGTAAGCATTAGATCTAAAACAAATAAGACGTCATCTAACTTATTTTTCTTTAACAAACATTGAATCAGGGTCTCAAAAGTCTGCTTCCGTGGTTTCAGCTTTTTATTCAGCACCTCTAACAACCATTCCATAGCTTCTGTAAAACATTCTTGTTCACATAATCCAGTTACAATATAATCATATGTACTGACCGTGGGTTCCCAATTTCTGCAAACCATATCTTTCCACAACCTTATTGCCTCTTGGGTGTCTCCAACTTCACAAAGTCGTCTAATTAGGGCGGTAAAAGTAGAAGCTGATGGCTCAAGGCCCTGTGCCAGGAGTACACGAAATAGTTTTGTAGTCTCAACTAGCTTCCCTTGCTTTAAAAGGGCTCGAATTAGAGAGTTGTATGTGATAATATCACAAACAATGCCCTTCTGAGACATTTCTTCAAACAATCTCTGAGCTTCATCCGTCCTTCCATGCAAACACAAGCCCGAAATCATTGCGTTGCAGGGAACTGTGGTTTTTTCATACCCTTTATCACACATCTCCTTGTAGAGTTTCCTGGCCGCATCAAACTTGCCAAGTCGACAATACCTACTTATCATTACACTATAGGTGTATTCATTTGGAAGAAGTCCCTTTCGAATCATCTCAAACCACAGCTTCCTAGCCTCTCCAAGAAATCCCATATCACAAAGGCCTTTAATTATTGTTGTGTACATGACCCTGTCAGGGAAGTACCCTCTGTCCTTAAGATCATTAAAGATCCTGAATGCTTCCATGTTCTTGCTTCTCTTAATTAGTCCATTTATGATTTCCTGATACGTAAAGATGTCAGGACCATGCCCTTTTGCAATCATAATGTGTAAAAGTTCAGATACTCGGGCATACTCCTCCTCCTTACAGAACCCAGATATAAGTGTGTTGAAAACAATATTGTCAGGGCACAGCCCATCTTCCAGAATCTGTCGAAGAAGTCCATAACCATTAGAAACTTTGTTATCATCGCAGTAGGCTTGAATTAGATAACCTATAGTTTCAGCATCAATGTTTGCTATAACATCGGATGCCATCATCTGTTCATACAGTGTCCAAACTAAATCAGTCCTCCCTGTCTTCAAACAAGCAGATAGAGACACATTCCAAGTTGCAACGGATGGGCAAAATCCAGCATTTTTCAACTTACAAAACACGCTAACTGCCTCCTCAACCATTTCACCACGACTAAGACATTGGATGTAACACTCCAAAGATGAAGGCTCGGGAGTAAATCCATCGCGGTCAAGTAAAGATTTTGCTGCGTTGCAGGCCTTAGCGTCCACAAGGACGTCAAAAAGGGCATTGCAAGATGAATGATCGGGCGAGAAACCACAGTGAGAACAAAGCCAGTGAAAGAAACGCAGGGAGAGAAAAGCATTATTCTGATGCTTCATATATGAATGGAAAAGCCGGGGATCGGAGAAATTTAAAGAAGGGAATTCGGAGAGGAGAGTATGCTCCCACCTAGGCCTTCTTCGAGTAATCAAACAAATTTCATGGATGACGTCCTTATAACTCCCGTCACAATCCCCGTCTTTGCTCTCAGTGGTGAGATTTCGCAGTTGGCCAGCTGGGTCTAGGCGAGCACCAGGAGAGCTATGGCGGATGAAGCTTATGATAGAGGACGGAGCTCTCACCATTCTGAGGTTTAGTGCTTCAAGCTAAACGATGACTGCCACGAAAGGAAGTCAATAACAACAAATTCCTGACTGCGGATTTCAAAGCCATGGAGCGCCGCGCAATCTCGCCATACCGGGTAGTGGCGATGCCGCCGGTAACAACGGCAAGATTCGAGCGTCGGTTCCCTCTTATCCTCCGCCGTTGGGTCTTCGATGGGTGGACTATGTGGTGCCCTTCGCCGTCGAAGCATTGAAGCTCTCGGACGCCGAACGCATCTCTTCACAGGGCTTCTCTATTTTCTTTTTCTTTTTTCGTTTCCTAGAAAGAAAATGCATTTATTCTTAAGCTTTGGTAATTCAGCGAGCAAGGTTAGCTTTTCTGAAAAAATGGTTTTTAGAAAAAAATGATAAGAAAAGTTATTTTGATAGTAAGCTGGAAAAAAAAAGAAATCAGAAGGATGACAGTTAAATTTCAAAAATTTTAAAAGATGACTTGAATTTAAGAGATTCTGAATTAGTAATAGGGACTAAATTCAAATTTTAAAATGTTAATAAATCTATAATATTGTTTTTTATTGAAAAAAAACTCAAAACACTCTTACGTACCAGCCAATATGAGGGTGACTTGAGTTTTTTTCCCTGAAAACAATAAAGATCAACATTTTAAAATTTCGATTAGATCATTATGACTGATTTAGATTAATATGATTTCTGAGATTTTGAAAATTTAACTATAATTTTTTTTCAAATTTTTTCAGTAAATTTTGAGTAGAATAAATTATGTTAAAAAGATGATGCTGATAAAATTAATGTTCATGTGGTTGTAATGATAATGACTTTTTCGTACTTAAATTGCTAAAAAAGGCACGATCTAATGTAATACTACCTCCGGTCCTAATTATAAGACCCAGTTGATTAATTTGGAGAAATTAAGAAACTTAGTTAAGTTAGTTATTTGTAATGAATAGGTGTTGTTTTTCCTAAAATATCCATACTAGTCAAGTCCGTTAGCTACAACTACTATTATTAAAAGGATTATCATGAAAAAAAGTGTATAAATATGAGAGACAAAGTAGATTGGGGTCTTATATTTAAGATCAAAATAAAAGTGAAACAAGATTTTATAATAGGGATTGGAGGTAGTAGTTAAAAAAAAAAATAAGAAGAAGATGAGGGTATTTTGAGTATGGTGTGTTCAATATTATGGTCATCATCACACTTCAAGCCATGGTCTTCCACCTCTCAAAAGCAAAACAAATTAGCTTCTGGGAAGCATAGTTGCGTCTCCTCAAACCCATGATTTTTATTCCCAAATTATGTTTTTTCTTTTAATGATTATTTCACTACTCTCATAATCCATTTCTTTTAATCTCATTCATAGTGTTTGTAATCCATGATTTACCTTTTAACGTGAATGAAACATTTGATAAATAAGACTATGCGTATAAATAAAACGTGTCATTTATGATGAAATGTTTAAAAATATGAGAAATTCTCTCTCTCGTTTTTACCTTTTTTTCCTCTGTACTTTCAAATTAATGTTATAAGTAGTTGCTGTGACACTTGCACACTTCCACTAATCACTCTTCCCCTGCAGAGTACTCATACATCTGTTGAAGTAAAACTGACCATTATAAAAATTAAATAATTAACACGAAATGCATTTAACTAGTATGATTAAGAAATCTGGTTAATTTCTTCAAGTTGTTAGAAAATAGATCATTAATATTAAAATCTTATAAAAAAATTATTCTTATCAATTTTTGCCAGTCTGTTTAATTTTGAGCCTCTCACCAAAATTCAGAGTGGGGTGGAAAAAGAAAAAGGAAAAAGGAAAAAGTTTTTGGCGGAGCACATGACCTAACATTTCCACTTTCATTTCTCATCCGGCATAATCTATCGCTTTCTTTTTGGCTCCAACAATTACTAAGCGATCTTTCCGTGTCGTCCTGCAAATCGTTTCGCTTTCTCATTTCGGCTGCTAGGATTTCCCGCGTCACATAATCTATCGTGCTTTTCTTTCTCAATTCCATTTGGACTTCGAATTTGAGGATTCAACCCGTTCTGGCCAATCTATCAATACTGGAAGGTAATTTTTTATTAGCTAAACCCTAGCTTTGTTCAACTCCATTTCCTGGCTTTTCTTGCCGAGATGTTGGTGCGTTGACTTTATGTTATCGATTTTGCTTAAAATCTGTAATCTGTACAAGTTGGCTACTTTAGTTTATTGCTCTGATCTCTTCTGATGTACTTGATTTAAAATATTGAAAAAGTTTTTGGTTGCTGTAATACTGTTTCATGGCAATTTCATCTTTTCCCGCAATCATGACATTCTCCAGTCAATTGTCTGTTTACTGGATAGCTGCAGTGAAGTTTGTAGATTATTTGGACGTGTTTGATAGGAAATGGGCTCTGTTTTATTCAATTTCTTCCTTCATAGGCTGATCATTTCATGTGGACTCTTTCTCTCAGGTTCGGATTTTCCTTCTTTCATTATTCCTGCGACGCCAGGAATATTTATAACTCAACTCCATCAAGTTTCACTCTACTTGCCAGATGAGGCGAGCCTTTGATTGTATCAATAGAGGCGTGATAAAAAGGAAGAAAAATCAGTATATCACTTTCTAGGGGGGTCGAATACTCCTGACTCTTCTGATGTTGCTGTGACTGAAATAGTACATTTCCCCATTATGTATCTTGTAATTTAGATCTTGATGGAGGAATTGAAGGCATGATTATTGAAGAAAACCCTGTAGGTACAAGACTGGCAATGAATAATGCCAGTGGAGAGCAGGGAAGAGAACTTGCCCATGAACCATACATCGGGTTGGAGTTTGAATCAGCAGATGATGCACTTAAGTTTTACACTTTATATGGGAAGCAAGCTGGATTTAAAGTTCGGATTGGTCAGTTGTATCGATCAAGAACTGATGGATCAGTTTCTTCCAGAAGATTTGTGTGCTCAAAGGAGGGATATCAGCTCAGTTCGAGAACAGGTTGTCCAGCATTCATAAGAGTACAAAAGCGGGATTCAGGGAAGTGGGTTGTTGATCATTTCATTAAGGGCCACAATCATGGACTTGAACCTGAAGGTGAAGGTGAGAGTTGCCTTCCTAATTTGCAGCCGAAAGATGCTACAGGCATAAAATCTGTTACTGGGGTGTCTCACAGACCAAGGAAAAAAATGCTTCAAGTCAAGGATGAGCATTGTTCCTTTGGTTTAATTAATTTTAAGCGGATGAGGAAAGGAGATGAAGGGCCATCCAGAGCTGAGCCATATGTAGGTCAAGAATTCAGTTCATCTAATGAAGCTTACCAATCTTATCAGGCATATGGAGCATCTGTGGGTTTCAGAGTTCGTATTGGTCAATTGTTTAGGTCTAAAAATGACGGAATAATTACATCTCGTCGATTTGTGTGCTCAAAAGAGGGGTTTCAGCACCCTTCAAGACTTGGCTGTGGGGCTTATTTGAGAGTTAAGAGACAACCATCTGGGAAGTGGGTCGTGGATCGTCTTCATAAGGAGCATAATCATAATCTTGATCCTGAACAGGAGGGTAGGCCAAAAAGTCTGCCTGCTTTAAATATCTTGACAGATGAGGTTGATGCAGGATTGGTAAATGGTGACTTATTTAGGATAGATAACTACCCTGTTCCCAGAGGAGGCAGACAAAATCATATTAAAAGTGACTGGTACGGTATGCTTTTTGAGTATTTTCAATCAAGACAAGCAGAAGATACAGGATTTTTTTATGCTGTGGAAGTTGATAATGGCAATTGTATGAGCGTATTTTGGGCTGATGGCAGATCAAGGTATTCATGCAGTCAGTTTGGTGATGTACTTGTTTTGGATACATCATATCGAAAGAGTGTTTATTTGGTTCCGTTTGCTACTTTTGTCGGCATTAACCATCACAAGCAACCTGTGCTTCTTGGATGCGCTCTAATTGCTGATGAATCTGAAGATTCTTTCACTTGGTTGTTTCAAACATGGATGAGGGCAATGTCTGGCCGGCAGCCGCTGTCAGTAATAGCCGATCAAGACATTACAATCCAGAAGGCATTGGCAAAAGTCTTTCCAGGAACCCATCATCGTTTTTCATTGTGGCAAATTAAGGTAAAAGAACAAGAGAATGTGGGTTTGATGGGTAATAAATTTGCATATGATTATGAGAGGTGCATTTACCAAAGTCAGACAGTTGAGGATTTGACACCACATGGAATGCGCTAATCAACAAATATGGATTAGAGGGCAATGCTTGGCTGAAGGAAATGTATGAGAAGCGTGCATCTTGGGTTCCATTGTATTTGAAGGGGACCTTTTTTGCAGGCATTCATATGAATGAAAGTGTTGATTCATTCTTTGGTACACTTTTAAATGGCCAAACGCCCCTGATGGAGTTCATTTCACGGTATGAAAGAGGTCTTGAGCGACGCCGTGAGGAAGAAAGAAAAGAGGATTTCAATACCTCTAATTTCCAACCATTTTTGCAAACAAAAGAACCAGTAGAAGATCAATGTAGAAGGGTTTATACTCTTACCATATTCAAAATATTTCAAAAGGAGCTTCTGCAATCGTACAGTTATCTAGGGTTTAAAATTTTTGAAGAGGGGGTCCTCAGCAGATATTTGGTGCGTAAGTGTGGGAATGATCCTGAGAAGCATGTGGTTACCTTTAGTGCATCCAGTATCAGTGTAAGCTGTAGCTGTCAGATGTTTGAACATGAAGGCATTCTTTGCAGACATGTTCTAAGGGTTTTCCAAATTTTGGAATTAAGGGAAGTTCCATCTCGTTACATCTTGCACCGCTGGACTAGAAATGCCGAGAATGGTGTTTTTCCTGATGCAGAATCATGGAGCAGCGCTCAGGAACTCAGGAATTTAATGCTATGGAGTCTAAGAGAAACTGCATGTAAATATATAGATGCTGGTGCAACTTCTCTTGACAAGTACAAACTTGCCTACGAGATTTTGCAAGAAGGGGGGAGGAAGCTATGTTGGCATCGGTGAGTACTTCTATTTTGGACGTAGTTGTATAATGAAGGTTTGTAGGTTTGTCTGTTAACTTCGTTGTGCACCTTGCAGTCTTATTTCATGAATCATACTGAGTAATGCATGATTCGGGTTGCTGGTTTCCTCAACTGTTGGATCTTTTACTGGATATTTTGCTATGTAGATCGAGTGGGTCGTGCCTGTTCTTTGAGTTGGCCTTTATTCCTTAAGGATGAGAATGAGATCATTGAGTGGGCCTTTTTTGCCCCAAAAAAAAATCCAGATTTGATGGTCTTTTAAAAACTCAGCTTCCTCCTGAAAATCGAAGTTCCTATACGCAAAGGAGTCCCTAGCCCTGCCCAGATAACTTGTAGTGATCAAAATCGTGTACTTCTCTTTTTCATTGAGAAAAAAGTGGTTAGCGGGCCACCCGCTTTCTTTCTTTCTTTCTTTTTTAATATTTTTTTTTCACCATTAGAATCGAAAAGAGAAATAGGCAATAAGACTGCATATGCGACACATCATGGTTCCTCTAGAGGAGTTTAGACATGAAAAACAAAATTGCTTATATATATAATTAAAAAAAATGCTTTTCAAGTCTTATTCTTAGAGTCTGTTTGGATAACATCCAAAACCATGATTTGGGTAAAAAAATTGTCAAACAAGGGGTAAAATTAACAAACCATGGTTTGGGGCCAAAATCATGGTTTTGGATTCAAAACCATAGTTTCAGAAAAAATGAATTCATTCTGCTTTTGGTTCAAATTAGAGAGTATGATTATGCTTGAAATCTTAACGATAATATGACTTTAATACCCTTCAATTATTTTTTATAAACATATTTAATCTTATCTTTTATAAATATATATACAAATATTAATTATTTATTAATCACATTATCTTATATGTCATTAATTATGTTGGTAAAAAATATATTATTAACAATTTTAATCCTTCAAATTAAATATATTATAAAATTCATCTTTTATGTAATTATCATATTAATTTATGTCTTTTTTAGTAATTAGCATATATAAAAAGTGCTTCTAATAACGGCTATCTAAACACTCTAACTTTATCAGAGTTATTTTTTTACAAAAGCTATTCTTCTAAGAATCTATTCTCTAAAAGTTATTTTCCAAATAATGATTTGGTTTTATCCAAACACTTTTTTAGAAGATAATTTAATTTAGTGATTTTTCTTCTAAAAAAGCAAATCCTGAAGCTTTGGGTATGCCGGGAGGCAGGCGCAATGGCATGTGTTACCCGGCGAAACGAAAGAGATCCTTGTCATTACCAAGTAATTCATATCTGGTAGGTCTGTTCATGATGCAGACCTACCATTGATGCAGACCTTGAAGCCAATGAAAATCCCCACTTCATAATCTGTTTGAATTGTGTGGCAAAGGATGATGATACATGTCAGGGTTGGATAAGAGAACTCCAATTCAAATTTCACATTTTTAATGATTTAGATTGCGAGTTTTGATTTTTCCACTGCATTGGTTTAAAACATTATTCTCAGCCAAATGTGTGGTTATTTTTTAAAAAAAAAAAACCGTCTGTTTATATTAGAAAGGGATGCAGATTTTGAATGAAGAGAGAATCAATGAGTAAAAAATATTTGAAGGGAAAAAATCCCAGAGTTTTCCCTTCGAGCATTCCCTCTTTTTTTCCTCCTTCTCCTCCTGATTTTCTTCCCTATCCAAACCAAGCTTAAATGATGGAGAGTTAACCTTTGCTTGACATTAGAAATGAAAAATTATAATTCTGAGACAAAAATTTAGTTGTAAAACTTTTCAATGGTGAAAAAATAGGGTATACTTAGATGCAGTCTCATATTTTGAAAAAAATAAATAAATGAAATGGAATAAATGAATGGATTTGTGATTATAACCAGACAAGTATGTGATTTGGTTTGGAAGCCATACATTTGTCCACAAAATTATGCATTACTAGTGATACGAAAGACGTATAACCAATTGAAATGAAAATAAAATTAGCGATAAAAAAGAAAAGATATGTGTCCCTTTTAGAATTTTTTTCCCTTTTTTAAAAAATCAGATATTTTTAGATGGAAAATTTGAATTAATACAAGGCCCTTCACGGCAAATTCTACTGGAGATGTGAAAGTGGCTATATTTTTTGTTATGACCGTTGTGTCTTTTCATCAAATTTAGTTCGTGGGTTAGGTTCTATTCCTGAGGAAAGTCTTGATTCTTCTCTGACTCTGAGGAACGTATATAAATCAAAGATGAGACATTAGCCATGCCTTTTTTACTCTTACCGCTAAAACAGTGAACTCCTTTGCAGAGTGGAAGGATCTTTTCTTGAAATAACGGTCAACAGTCGGCTCCTATTTATAATAAGTTGTCAATGCTTATCTATGTAATTAATGAAAAAACGATTCTCCCATACCCTTTCATTATATGCCATTATTTACACTGCCTTTTGCCCATAATTTTTACATATGTCAATGATCTACTCTATATGAGCAAGATAGGCCTAACTCAGTAATTTATCAGAGACAGCCTTCTCTGTCACATGTAAGTCAGAAAAAGGCAGGACTTGAACATTGAAGCCATTAGCATGACTATTTAATGGAGATACAAGACTCTCAATGTATACCTCAGCATCAAACCAACCCTTCCCATTCTCAATCCTGGGATACTTAAAAGACTTGTCTCTTGTGTCATAGAGGACCAAGTCAAACTCAAACATTAACAGAATTTGACCATTCTCGGAAACGCAAAATGGCTGTGAGTAGGAAAAGTCTTCGGGGTTAGGCAAATAAGGGATGGTCACCAATCTCACCCAAGACTCTCTTACTCCATGGTCCTTCATTATCCACACAACAAAATGGGTCTTCTTGTAATCATAGCTCATAGATAGGCAGCCTCCTAAAACACCCAAGCTAGGCCTGGAACTGACTTCTTTTTCATATGCAGGTGGCAGAACTTGCCTGTATGTTTCCTTCTGCAGATCAAAAGACACAATAACCCACAGAGGGTCTGGAGTTGAATTTACAGACCGAGAACCAAAGGAGCAACGGGCTGGCCAATTAAGAGTTCCGCTCACAAATTTCCCGAAATCATGATAGGGTGTGAACCCATTAGGGAAATCTTGAATCTTTCTCCAAGAATTGGTGGCTAGACTGTAAACCTTCGCGCTTGTTTTACTGATATGATGTTGTTCTCCAGGGTCACAAGACACAGCCACCACTTTATAATCGTCAGATATGTGATCATATCCGAGACCAAATGCAGTATAACACCCGGGTCTCCAATTATTATCCAAAGATGGAGACTTTTTGGACACTCTGATTGATGGGTTCCAAAGAAGAACACGCTCTGCTTTTATGGCAAAACAGAGCAACCCATTACAAGAGCCTACGATCCCATCATGGCGAAACTTGTTCTTCACTGGGTAATTGAGTTCTTCAGAAATGATTGAAGGTTCATCGATCAATGAGCACACAGCGCAAGATTTGAGGTTGAACTCTGCAGTTGTGGAACTTAACATGATCCTTTGGTGGTTGAGACTGGTATCCTGAGTTGAACTCAAAAGGTGTTTTCTGATGAAATAAGGATCAGAAATTAAGGATTTCCATGACTTACATACGCACCTGAGTTGCAAAAGAGACGTCACGGGAAGCCTCGAGAGGATTTCTTCGATGAGCTCATTGGGAATGAAAGGTAATTGATCAAGAAATGGTTTAGAAACAGAGGAAACTTGACTCTGACTCTGACTCTGCTTTTGTGATTGTACAATCGAGGAACTTGAAACAGACAAGGTAGTTGGGTCTCGGTAATTGATTGGTTGCTCTCTCTTAAGGGACGTATTAGGAGTGGCGGTGCCGTGGGGACGGCCGTGGTAATCAGTGCCACCTTCCAACGACATATAAGAGAGAGTGGGAGAGAGGAAGAGGAAGTTCTGGTTCCTCCGTTTCTTCAAATTTTGCGGAGTGGGAAGTGCGAGAGGCTCAGAGCTTGTGAGCTTCATCTTATGAAGATTAATAGATTACTACGATTGCCTGCCATTCATGTCACGATAGCATTTTATTACGTCATTTTTTCTGTTTTAGTTTCCGCTTCGGATAATACATGGGATCTTGGTTCTAGCACAAAATGACTCACTTGATCTTCTCTATTTAAATAAGGCATCAAGATATACATTCATTCAAGGAAATACTATAAGTTCTGTAAAATATCTTAATCTTTAAATCTCTCCGATTTTTTAATATGAAAAAAAAAAGCTCATCAGTTTGTACTTAAAATAATAATTTTTTATTTGATCTCATGATACGGGACTCACGTATGCATTATAAACTCACTAGACAACGCATTACATAAAGTCTCTTGTTGAAGTGCATTATGACAAAAAAAGTCTGTTAATAGTTGACGTTAAGGAAACATTGCAAGTGATTGATGTTACTAAAGCAACCATTTGGGGATTATGACGGCAAGAAGCTGTTGTGTAAAGGGGCTGTAATGTTCTCAGCAAACCAAGGACTGAACTGAAATATGCATAACTTCGTTCCTTTGTGGGACATCCAAAGGTTGCTTGCTGATGAAGGATCCGTTTGTTCACATTCAGCTCAGGGCGGTGGCTGGCGGCTGCCTTGTTGAATATTCCTCTTTTAGAACATCAAATTATTTTTCGGTTTCATTTAATTTCAAAAATATAAATGACTTTGCAGCAAGTAAGAATAATGCGATAGATTGGTCTTTGTTCAGCTAAATGTGTCATGGAGGATGGATTTGTAGCATTTATTTATTTGTTTGTTTGTTTTTATTTTATTTTATTTAAGTGTGTGAATCTTCATGCGGCAGGTGATGAAGATCCCTCATCAGCAAGTTGTGCTTGCCACCATATCTTTCCGCTTCCTCATATTTTATCCCCCCCCCCCTTCTCCTGTTGAGATGACATTGACAAGTGGTGACAAGTGGTGCATTCTGTATAAGCCATTCAAAAGTTGCAAGGAAACTAAACACTAACCAGCTATTAGTTCAATCATCACAGTAAGATTTGGTGCTGCAATTCTCATTGGGGCATAAAATGACAGTATCCTGTGATTTTTGTTTTTCTGGGATATTACTCAAATTAACCCACAGCTCCCACTCTTAAAAAGCTTATATATCTAACGACTAATAAAATCATCCCTTGTACCCAAGTTTTGAGTAAAAGTTGCACATGGGATTATTCCACTGTCCAAAACTTTCGGAAGTTAATTTTAACGTTTCTTTCAACGTCATATTTTTCTGGTTAACACATAACATTGGCCAATGAACCCAGCCAATGGAGGGGAATCAATTCTTCATCTTATTATTACAAGTTACATCAGTTCACCAGGTTTACTGGCATCTTGAAACACAAATACCAAAACCATAAAAAGCAAAAAATTGGGAACACTTGCACCCTTTTTCATCCGTCAGCTCTTCCTCCTGAACCATAGTCCCATCCCTTTCTACTTTTAACAACAATCAAAGAACTGAATGACAGCAAATTACGCTAATGAAGTGCCATACCTAGTATTACCTTCCATATAATCATCTTCGGCCCTCGATTTTACTCCTGCCATACATGCCAAATGTATATTTAGAACAAGCATTAGCAGCATAAAGCGGCGTCAAAACATTTGTACATCAGTCAGCACAGTCTTTTAAGGGATTGGGTTGGTACAGCAACTATTATTGCAGGACAGCACCTGATAACAATACAAGGCGGCGCATTACTGTGAACTATAAATTGAACCTAAACATCTGAGAGCCGCGATCAACTTTAGCACCGATTCCATGGAGAATATCTTCTCACAATTGAGATGAAACATTAAATTTCTCTCGCTACAGATCCATCAAAGATGATCCATGAACTCAACAATATTCAGCTCAGAGAATCCTTCAAGAAGCTCATGCACCAGGTAACTTGGCCTTGCATCTAAATCCGATCTTTACAAGCAAGGCGAGATCAGACTCTCAACATAGATCTGTGCCTCAATCCAACCTCTATTGCATTGAATCTCAGGACTTACAAATGAGGAAGATCTAGGGTTATACCAATTTAAGAGCCACCTGTCCTGCAACAGTATTTCACTACTCTCCGAAATACAGCGATCCTTCGGACATAGAAGGACAGGATTTTCCGGGGACGGAATGTTGAACAGTTTAGTCCAAGACTCTTTAACACCAAAATCCTTCATGATCCACACATCTGAGCGCGTGCCATAGTTATAAAGGATGGCCAAGCAGTCTCCCAATACTCCCAAGGTCAATGTAAGCATACCGTCTCCATGATCAGGCTGTGGAAGTTCTACATATGACTCCTTCTCTAAATCAAGAGAAATAACAACCAGAGAAGAACGTGAATGACTATCTGCCACCCAATTAAGTGTTCCGCTCACAAATTTTCCCATTTCATCATACGGGATACCTAAAGGGAACTCCTGAATCATCCTCCAAGAATCATCACCCAATGTATAAACGCTGACTTCTGTTTTATAATCACCTCTACCATCACTATTATAGCAGAAAATTGCGACCACCTTGTATTTATCAATAGATTGATCACAACCAAACCCATATATTATATAACTCCCGTCCCGTTTTTGATAATCTAAACAAGGAGATTTCTTGCATTTTCTAATAGACGGGTTCCAGACAAGGACATGGCTGGGTCGAATAGCGAAACAAAGCAAGCCGTTGCAAGAACCCACAATGAAATCATATGGATTTTGTCTCTTCAAAGGGTATTTCAGTTTCACGGCGTTCGTGCGTTTGCGCTCGCGTGTGGATGAAACAGGGCAAGATGTAACAGTACGACTAGGTCCCGGGACGCAGAACACGATGTTATGGTGAGTGAACTTACGGTCCGTAATTGAAACACGGAGGTGCAGTTTAGCAAATCGGGGATCGGAGATCAAGGAATTCCAAGACTTGCATACACACCTGAGTTGCAGGAGCAACTTGACAGGGAGCCTGGAGAGAATATTCTCGATGAGCTCGGGAGGAAGGATCGGCGACGGTGGAGAAGCTCTATCGCCATGATTAGCCATGTGGTGGTGGCGAGAAGAGGAAGGAGAAGTGAGGGATGAGGATGAACGAGGAGAAAGTCGATGCTTCTTGGGAATGGAAGAGCCTTCTGGTTCAGGGAATCCCTGAGAAAAAGGTGAGACGATGTTAGCGAACTCACAATTGGTGGTGGTACCTGTACCTGACGCCATTATTGGGGAGCTAGGGCTTTCCTGCGTTACTTTCATCAGCTTCTGCCTTCTGGGCTCTGAGTTCTGACAGGTTACTCCTCCACGCAATCTTAAAATAATGAGATTCCTCATGCGCTGCGTTTTTCCTCATTCAAACCCGTATCACATTTAAAAGGGTGTTTGGGTAGTTTCAGAAACACTACTTAGAAATATTTTTCTACTGATCAAGATAAATTTTTCTACACATTTGTTAAAATACTTTTTTTGGTGACTTGTTAAAAATACTTTTAAAACTATGATTTTGTTTCTATCCAAACACAAGAGAGTATTTGGATAAGTGGTTCTGAAAAGTATTTTTTTCACAAATTCAGATAAATTTTTATATATATATTTATTTTATATATTGTAAAATCACTTCTGAAACTATGGTTTAGTTTATATCCAAACACCTCCTTAATCCCACCTGTTATTCTCAGTATATAGTTATGGGAGAATTATAACAAAATCCAAAAAAAAATATAAAATAAAGTTTAGAAGTTGTAATTTTCTACTTTAAAATTTATTATTACTACCTGTTTCAATTATTATTAAAAAATTTTAGTAATTATTTTTTCTCCTTCCAATCTCGCTAATTCTCCTTAGCTATATTGTATAAGTAGGTTTTATTTTTATTCCGCCAAACTATCCTCCTTGCCAAGCCACGAATATTAAGTATTAGGTTGTCTATATTACTCCCTTCCATTTTTAATACAAAATTAGTTAATTAATTTAAATATATCAAAAAAATTAGTTAAGTTAATTATTTATAATAAATATGTATTTTATTTCTTAAAATACTATAGAGACTATCTTAAAAAATAAATAAATATGAGAGACAAAGTAAATTGAAATTTTATATTTACGATCAAATTAAAAGTCTAACTAACTCTTATTAAAGAATGTGGGGCTAGTAACTTATTTTTTTCTTCCTCTCTTCTTTGTAAATCAATTTATTACTTTTTAAGCCAACATAAAATGATAATTTTTACAAAAAGCAAATGCCTTATAAATTACTTTTTTAATTATTATTATTACACGTTAGATTATTTTATTTAATTGTGGAATATAATTATGTTAAGTTGATATAATATACTCCTACAGTTATAAATATAAGACCTATTTTATAGTGTAATTTATATTATAAAATAAGTCTTATATTAAAAATTGAAGAAGTATAATAAGGTGCAACCTCCACGTAACAAAATATGCTTATATAGCGTTGAGTTGAATTGATCAGATCATAATTCCTTGTTCATAGTAAAAATAAAAAATAAACAATAAGTGGAGATGAGCTTGCAGAAGATTTTTGTGATTTTGCAGTAGAAGGCATGGACATCAGGATGTCAATTTTTTGTGAAGTTACTGTCATAATTCATAAATGCACTTACCACATCCCATTAACAGCTGATCATCCATACTCCACAGGTTGCATTTTACCATTTACTTCTCTGGTACTGTTTATAAATGGGAGAGAGAATAATATTTTATTTTATTTTATTTATAAGTGACCTCATAATAAAAATAATAAAATTTAATTTTGCAAGATTAAATTTTTTTGCTTTGTAAAGTTACCGTCATAAATGTATTGTTTAGTTCCATTAGCAGATATGAATGCAAAATTTTAACCTACTCGCTCCGTCTCTTATTATAAACAATACAGAACTCTATTACATAAATCAAAAAATTAGTTAAAGATAATAAATAAGTAAAAATTATAAGGTTTTTTTTTCAAAATATCCTTATTTATCATGCGAGAGTATAAGAAAGAGAATAAGAAAATTATTATAATAAAAAAAATTATGAGAGAGAGAATGTGTGATAAAGAGAGACCATGGTTTGACAATTGAAATAAATAAATATATTGAATATTAAAATAAGTATTTAATGGGAGCAAAATAAAAAATTTTGCAACAAAAATTTAAGACAACTTGTAAATGTTGGATATATTTATAAATAAGAAAGGATGGTAGTTGTTACTTATAAAAAGAAATGAGGGAGTATATAATAATGCAGTGATTAATTCCCATAGCCATGCCAAGAAACAAGAAAAAGCGCTTCTGTATCAATAATTAATTAATTGCATTAGAGAAATCGAGATTTTAGATAAACCAATATGTGATCGGTATATAATATGATAATGTCATCCCCAAATAAAGTAAAAATAAAAACAAAACTTTTCTTCCAATATAATATAGTACAGTTGTGCATATTGCAATAAGCCAATAACACTTTCAAGCAGCATAGAGTCTCCGTGAACTTCCAAATTGAGTCGCCCAAGAGCAAAGGTGAATTAAGCTATAAATATTTCTTGACTTTAAAATACTGAAATAATACAAACAACAAATAGAAATGGAGCATAGTGACATCACCATGAGTGAGCAAAAGAGATAAGAGATGAATCACCCTGAGCAATCTTGCTGGTTTCATGTCAATCAGCACACAACCAAAATCCGGTTGCTAGATCGTTATGGGAATTTCACCACACTTTTTTTTTTTGGGGTGAAAAATTTCACTACACTTCTTTAATATTAGATCAAGTTCTTGGTGCCACCCAACAATATTTCCAATTTTCACATGGAAGTTCCCTTTATCCAGCATAATACTACCTCCGGTCCTAATTATAAGACTCAGTTGACTAATTTGAGAAGATTAAGGAAGTAAGTTAAGTTAGTTATTTGTAACAAATAAGTGTTGTTATTCCTAAAATATCCTTGCTAATTAAGTGTGTTGGTTAGAACTATCATTATTAGAAGGACTATCTTGGAAAAAAATGCATAAATATGAGAGACAAAATGGATTGGGGTCTTATAATTAGGACCAAACTAAAAGTCAAACGGGATCTTATATTAAGGACCGGAGGTAGTACAATGACTTACTCAAGATTCTCTTAGTCCCAAGTCTGCTCAAGAGTTAAGATAGTAGTTTAGAGTGTCTATGATAGAGCAATATTGTCTTAGAGTGAAATTAACTAATAGAGAACTTATCATCAGAGTAATTGAATGAAGCTAGTCTGTAGTAGAAAATCACTTATTAGTGGTTGGACATAAGAAAATGGCCATTACTCAAAAGAAAAGAATTGGTTCGCTAATCATGGTAAGTACGTCTCATAATCATAAATTCGCAGCTTGTTGGCAGATGCTCAATATTATGAGATAAGTAATGAAAAGAATTTAAAAATTAAGAATAAAAATAAAAGTCAAGGTACATTGATATCAGGAACGATAGAGAAGTATGTTCGTGAACAACTCATATCAGAAGACACAAATTTACTGCTAGGAACGAAACAAATTTTCGACGCGTTCAAGGACATTGAAGCAATTGTTGACAAAAGCAAAGATTTCTCAACAAATGTCAGCTAACTGCACATAAACACCTGAATTTGTTGCCCGTCAATTACTCCGTGAAATGAATGTGCATCAAAGCAAGGTGATTGTTGATGTAAATTAGGAAATGTTAACAACTTGGCAAGGAAGGCGCTTATTGACAAACTCAACCTTTTTTTTTTTTTGGACTCAAAACTCAACCTTTAGATACATCAAGAACAGGACATTGACAAAAACACAGAAGCACAAATTGGGACATCATATATATATATATATATATATATATATATTGACTAAAACATATCTTTTCAGTATTAGAAGTAATTTTCTTTGACATGCTGTCGGACACTAGATATGACGCCCAAAAATATCCCGAAAGTATCTGAAATAAGATTAAACATCATATTTGATTAAATTATGACCGCTTAGCTCTCTGAAATCATTTTTACAGGAACCTTTTAGACTTAGATCCGTCATTAATCTCTCGACTACTGGCAATAGAAAGTTCTGGACAATAACATACTCTTGAAACTCTTCAATCTTTTGTAGATTCACTTGACTCTTTTGCTTCATTCTTTTGATGCAAAACAATCTTCTCTACATCAAAACATAAGAATCCAATACATATTTACCTAAACTTGCGTAAAGCATAAAAAAAGAGTTTGCCTACAATGTTATGCTACAGGGGAAAAAATTATGCCCTTGGTAAGGGTTTGCAATATAACGCAATCATTGGATTAAAGCATTAATAATACTGAACAGAAAATTTTGTCATGATTTGACAGCCTCATCATCATCTTCAATATCCCAACTAAGGTCCTCCTCTTGTTCATCTGAACTCAACCTCTTTCGCAAATCAATTCTACTAGTGGTTCCGAATGCATCTGCTTTGTTCTCGTCATTGCTTCCCATATCTTCAATCTCATCCCAACCGAGGTCTTCTTCCTCAGGCATCGATGGCTGGCTTGAAACAACTGAAATATCACTATCTTTGCAAGATTCAATGTTATCTGTTTTAACTTCTGATGCTGCTTGGTCTTGATATTTAGCTTCTAACTTATCCCCACTTCCACTGGCACTTCCAGGAGCATTTGATGCCACATGTTCAGGATCCTTAACCTCCGACTTATACCCGCCATCAGTTCCAGATTCAGACGCAAAACCGTTCGCATCATTTTCTATCTCCGAATCTACCTTCTTAGTCTCAACACTCTCAAAAGCACCACCACTACCAGCAACTTCAGTGGAATCTTCCTCCTTTGCCAACGTCACCGCACTGGAATCACCTTTTGCTTCATACCCATCATCATCATCGTCAAAATCCCAACTCAGATCCTCCTCTTCATCCCCAGAGATCGCACGCTTAACAAGCTTAGCTCTGGCATCCTCCGCCTGCTTCAGTTTATGCATCCTATAGAAATACCTGCTCCAGAAGCTTTCATGGTCGATCCTAATGGAGACAACCTCGCCATATATCTCCTCAATCACCCCATTCTCCGCAAACAAGTCCTGAATCTCCTGCCCCTTCTTATCCAACTCAAACCCTGCTTTCCACTCATTGTAATTTTCCACATCTTCGGGTTCCTCCACATATGTGTTAACATCATTCTGAAGAGCACGCACGAGCGCATCGAACCTGCTGTACGGCTTGACATCTGAACTCTGATTACTGCTAGTACTCAATCGCTGCTTACCAAAAACGTTCCTACCATTATCGTTGTAATCAGAAGGAACGAAATCAGAATCATCGGCTAAAAGAGAATCCCTACCCCGAGAGATAATCTTGGTCGTCGATTTCCATACCGAGCTGCCGATATCGTCTATGGCTTGGCCCACCGACTCAAGCGACTCCTGAGCAACCGACGCGCCAACATCAAGCGAAGCAGGGAGATCCTTGACGGCGCGTGAAGCAGCTTCTCGAATAATCGCCGTCTCTTTCCTCAATCCAGAACTGAATTCCTCAAGATCGCGGCGGTAGGTGCCGATAACTGACTCGGATTTGGAAGCAAGGGTCTGAAAGAGACCTCCAAAGTTCCAGGCGTTGTTAGGGTCGGAACTCTGAACCGGAGCGGGACTCGGATCGGGTTCATCAGGGTCATGTTCTCTGGATCCATGAGAAACCGGGGGTGGCGGCGGCGGATCGTCGGAGAACACGGCCTTGAAGAAATCCATTGAGTATGAGAGGCGAGGTTGCGCAGCCGATGGCGTTTGCTTATGATTTATGATATGATGCGTTACTCCATTGAAGAGGCGGACTTATCAGTTTATGCGCTTCGTCGGTGATTAATTCAGTTAAATTTGACGCAAGTTTTTCTCTTTCTGTTTTATCTTTTTCCCATCAATACTTTTTTTTTTTCTGGGGCCAAATTTTCCCCTCAGGCCTCAACAACAATCAATCATTTTCAATATACACACAGCAATTTGTGTTAGAGATTCATGAATCTAAAGTTCTAAACAAGGTGTCCTGTTTTATAATAATACGTTAATAATCAATAATAATAAGATGTATTAATTTTATATTATTTTTTTGGCCAAAAATTGTATATCATACATTAATATTATAAAAATTAGTACCATTTATAAGTCACATTTTATGGAACTCATTTCCACGTTTAGTTTATCACAAGTACAAATTACGAATGGAAACCATTGTATGAGAACATATCTTTGGATTATGGATTTTATTATATTACATTTTATTTCTTATTTTTATTTAAATTTCAAATATAACTTTTACTGTTAATTTGTCTTGGTTTATTACTCCTCCGGTCCTTAATATAGGATCCAATTCTTGAGTTGGTTTTGGTTCTAAATATAAGGCCCATTTATCATATTTATCAATTTTCTCTAAATTATCCCTATGGATACTCTCTCAACCATAATCAAGTAGAAAAGGGAGAGGGGTATTAAGAAAGATGATTATGGTGTTTTAGGAAAAATGTGTCACTTTTCTTATAATCAACCAGCTTACCCAACTTCCTTAATCTAATCAAATTAGTTAAATAGGTATTATATTAAAGATCGGAGGAATATAATCTATTAAAGAATATACAAGAATTAACCTATTCTTATTATATCAGTATAAGAAAGTCCGGTTAAATTGGCATTTGCACACAACGTTTTGAAGTTTAAACAACTCATCTGTCTGTTTATATTTACTAAACACTCCATAAATATTCGTGATCTTAGGGGAAAATCAGTGGTTATGATGCTATTGGTTTTGACAGTGAGAAATGTCAACAATGGCGCTAGTTGCAGTGGCGAATAGAACCAACAACTGAGAGTTTTCTCCGCCCTCATAATGGCTAAATGGATATTAAAGTGAAATGATTAAAAGAATTGCCTCAATAAATATTTTCAACAAAACACAAACTGAACCTAGCGATTGGTTTGGGACTCTGGATTAAAAGAATGCGTTGTTAACAACCTGAATTAGTTAGAAAACCATAGACAATATTACCTAAGTATACATATTATTTCTAGTCTACTGTTATGGGGGCAGAAGACTTGGCCTTGTCGGGCTAAAGACGTTGTTTGGTTGGAGGGTTTTTAGGAGAATAGAAGGAGGGGAAGGGAGGGGAGGGGATGCAAATGGAAGAGAGAGGAGGAAATTTTTTTTGTCATTTAGGGTATGTTTGGCTCAATGAGAGGAAGGGGAGGGGAGAGATTTTAATGGAGGAAAGGGGAAGGGAGTGGAAGGATTTTAATATTATCTTGTTTGGATTTATAAAAAAAGAAGAGAGGGGAGGGAAAGATATTTTAATATAGACAATTTTGCTCTTATTTTATTTAAGACGTGGACATAATGGTCACAACATGACAAAATATAGACATAATAGTTACAACATGACAAAATATGGGCATAATGGTCATAATATGACAAAATATTGCCCTTTCCCTCCAAATCCTCCCAATTTTGGAGAGGAGGGGAGGGAAAATTTTAAAATTTTTTTCCTCCCCTCCTAAAATTTGTGTTGCCAAACAAGGGGAAATGATTAAAATCTCTCCCCTCCCTCTCAAATCCCTCATACCAAACACACCCTTAGTGCTCTCCTTTCCTCTTTTTGCTCCCTTCCAAAATTGGAATTTTTTAGAAGGAAGAAAAATATTATACTTCATCTTGACTAAATTATCTATGTCAATTTTATAATATTTCAAGTTTATATTTTTCAGTAAAAACCTATTTTTTAACTCTTTGATTTTTTTTATTTTTTTTCTTTTCAACCCCTACTATTCTTCTACAGATTTTTTTTTACTCCTCAGATGTTCTTTTTTTTTCTGCACATTTTCTTTTTCTAATTTCATCATTTCCCATGTTCTCTACCATTAATATTCCATATCTTTTCCTCTTATATGATCTTTCATCTCAATTTCATTTTTTTTACACAAAACTTTGTATATTATCTAATTAAGTATGCGAGATTGTGTACGTTATGTAATTAAGGATGAAATAGTTCAAAACTTATAACATAAATTTATTTATAATTTTATTAATTTATATAATATGCTAAAGATTATAATTTTTTATGGACATTTATTTTGATATATGATTATTTATAATCTATTTGTTATGTCTCAAGATATCTGATTTTTTTATATTTACAAATTAGAAAATAATAATTATGATATAAATATCATAATAAAATAATAAAGAAGTCTAAATAAAGAGTTAAGGATATATTTGTCAACTTATAATTAGCTCCTCTCCCTTCTCTTTCTAAACCAAGCAAGAAATCTCCCCTCCCCTCTCTTTCCATCCAACCAAACAAAACTTATATCCTCCCCTCTCCTCCCCTCCCCTCCCCTTAATTCACCTCCCCTCTCCTCCCCTTCATTGAACCAAACAAAGCCAAAGGGAGAATTATCAAGTTTCAAAATTGAATCATTTCCATGAAAGTTACCTATTTCAGTTGGGTTCTTTGTCGACTACATAATTATTCTTTCAATACCCCATACCTGGTACTTCATTTGATTCATTGATACATGATATTAGTTCAGTTAAGATATTATACATCAGAACACATAGGAATATACAGGACAAAAAACACACTGCAATTTTGCATAAGCAAACAATGCTAGCAGAGGAATTAATTTAACCTGACAGTCTCGATTTCCTGGATGATGAACTCCTTTTCCTCCTCAAATTGCTCATCTTCTGAGCCTGAAATAGTGCAAGAGCCAAGAGATGTGAATCTTGAAACATCAGGTCTCCTACAGCATTAATCGGGAACAAAGAGTGCAAATTGAGAACAATTCATACAAACAAGCGTGTCTCCCATAAATCTACTGCGGAAACTATTATAACCTTTTGCAGGAGACAGATTATGAAGTAACTCCAGCAGCTTCTCTTGGTTCTTTGCAAGGATAATTTTCACATCTCGCGGCTTATTAGGATTAGCAACAAAAACCTGCATAAACAAGTAGTAACAAGAAATTCTTATTTTTTTTTGTCTTCCAAGACAAATCAAGGATCTAAAAGATCAGATGGCCAGTACCCAGCACTTAATATTTCAAAATAAGTGCATCAAAAAGCAGTCTTCAGGAACTTTCTGCATGCACCCAAATGGGTGTGAATGTGTTTTATCTGAATTCGTGTATAAATTAATATGACTTTAGAGAAACTACAGATAACCCTATTGGACCGATGAATTCTGTAGCATGCACTCTGCCAGATGTTCCCGCTGCTCACTTTTCCAACAATTTTCACGAGCTAAATCATTTTCCTAAACATGGATGCCCAACAAAAAGCTCGTAAGTGTCACCTAACTAAATATCCATAGGTTTTGCTGAGTTCCATGAAACAAATAAGATGGTCTCAAAGACCCAACCCATGACCATTTGGTTTAGATAGTCCGTTTTGAATTAACAGAACAAAAACACGTGTAAGTCATAAAAGCAATACTTCTTGAGTTATCCAAGGATCCCAAACTTAGCGAGAAATTATTTAGGTTGCAATTACTTAATTTGATTGTCTGAAATATGAGTGAGAATTTTCAATACCACCACAGGAGAACTTATCAAATGATTCTAATAGTAGGACGGTGAAAATTCACCTTGAAAATGTGAAAAGCTGATAGTTGAATGTTTGTACTTGAGTCCTGCTCAATCAAAAGAATCCTTGAGTATACTAGATAACTGATAGAAAGAAAAGGTAAAGGTAGAGCAAAAACATCATTTTTAGCCTGTATAAAACATGAATCAAGTTTATTATAGTCTTAGGATACTTATTATCGCCTTGCAGATTAATATGTTAATTCACATGCCCAGCGGGTAGAGTAACTGACAAACTAGGCGCAGCCATCTCTAGTGGCTGCAATGTGCCAGTTCCTCAGCACTAAGGTTTCATGTAACTAAACTGACAGGTATTGATCCTCTAAAAAAAATCTCCATTTTTGGGTAAACATCAGGAAGAAAACCTAAACTTCGGAACCTAACACCTAACAAAATAAACAGAAGAGAAATCATCAAGCAACAGACTCATGTCATGAAGGTAACTCCGCCCGCAGAACTTGTGTACAAGAAGATATCAACAAAATGTCTTCAATAATTGTCGTGTTGGACTACAACAAAAGTAAACATTCCCAATTAACTGGAATTAGGAAAACAAACATGAAAATGACTGTCCTTCTAGTAATATAAATACTTAACAATAGAAAAACTAAACCATGAGATGATATCAACTAACGTAAATTATATATTTCAGTTAGACTCAATAAATATCCAATAACTTAAGACAATAAAATAAGCACACTAATTAAATTTATGGGGCATCACATTGACTAAGCACCAAGAAATCGCGTTTCTTTGTCATATCAAAATGAAAGTAGAACATCACACAAACAGAGATAGGATGAAAAGGAATTATACCCTCAGCAATGTCATCATGACTTTCAAGTGACGAACTTCTTGGATGTAGTGTTTCATTATATGGATATTTGGAGCCTCCAAAAGAAATTCTGATAGAATCTAAAGGCCACGCACATTTAATTTATTAATAATCCTACAGATCAAAAAGCAATATTTATGGAAACTTCTATCCAGAACTAACCTTTAAAGACTGCCGCCTAGTGACATAATTAGAAGATGTCAAAAGTTTGTCATAGAGATCAAAGAACTGTAACATTAAGCCTTATTAGAAAAGCCAGAATAACATGCAAGATTAAAACACCCCAACAATTAAATCTGCACCAAGCACATGTTCAATATATGGTAAGTGAACTTAACTATCTCCTATGTAACAATTTCTCAGGTGGTAAAGTTTTCTCCAAGGGGCTCCTGAATTTATATGCAATCAACGTGCTTGAATATTTTGAACATGTTATTGTATGATCAGATCAGATAAAAAAGACAAGGAAGAAAACCTCATCATAATGAGCTTCCAAAAATTCAGCGACCAATTTTCCATGTTTAGTAAGAAGATCCTGCAAAACATTTCTGAGGAGTATAAAGGAGTGGCAGAAGGAAGTCTAAAATCAGCAACGGAAAAAAAAAAGAAAGGGAGGAAGTATGATTAGATTCTCTTTTTTTTTGGGGGGGGGGGTTGTGTGGGGTATATAGGAACTCTGACCTTAAAGGTAGAAAATGCATCTGAAGCAACATCAAAATCAGGCAACTCTACGAATTTAAAGAACAACTCAAAGCTTGGAGACTCCAAAATGTATCTGGAAAGACAAAATATTACACACTTGAACAATACAGCTGACTTGCTTTCAGAAAGACTACATGAGAATGCCCAACTTCAAATGCACATTGACTATCATTTGTTAAATTTACAATCTACATAATGACAAACAAGCTGAATACTTGGAGTTTGAGAGATAATCTCTAGGGTTCCGTTGATATGGTCTTTACACTTAACCATATTTGGGGAATCCTTTTAAAGACCCTACATTGAGGAAAACATTTTTTAGCAAAATAAAAAGTGTCATGCTTTCAGTAGTGTAATTTTCTTAATATCAGAACCATTTTATGACTTCTCAAATACTCAAGTCTTTACACCTTAAACTAGTGTAGCAAGTAATAAATTCCCCTCCTTTCTTGATAGTCTTCACTCACTCTTAATATCTTTGTGAACTCCCACTTTGTAAAGGAATAAATTTCATCATCCTCAAGATAGTGGCCAGAAATTAATAGAAGGTTACAATACCCTTAACATAATTCTAGCGAATCGCAGATGTGATGGATATGGACAAACGGGAAGCCATCACAAAGACTGAGTTGACACTCAATACAATAATAAGAACCCAGCCCATTCAGAGAACCACTCTTTATTTTTCTCCTAATAATTTAAAAATATCTCTCATTAGTTGATGAAGATTAAGGTAGAAAGGAGCCCAAGTCCCACACTGATTAGTATGAAATGCTCTATAAGAGACTTAAGTGGGTTGGTTCTCCCAGCATAAAAACTAATTCTTTGGGGAAGTTCCCTCACCTCACTTGGGTATTCATCATTGGTGCAGTTTATCAGGTTGGGTGATAGATAGAAAAGTAGTAAAAGCAGTATCTTACTCCAACTTCCATTAAGATCAATCTCGGCCTACATTGGACCTGAGAGACACGTAATGGGCAGGGAAAAACGATCTGGTAAAAACTTACTTTGCAAGTGTTGGAAATTTGAAGCATTCCCGCAACATTATTCCACAGTTCAAGGCAACTTCTTTATTATCATAGCTGCTAGGAAAAAAACCAGAGACAGTTTGTGAGCCCCCGATAACATGGAAGAACATTCAAAATCATTCTTTAGGAAGTGAAAGGCGTATATTTGGGTAGGCACAAAGGTAAGTGTGAATGAGACTTCTAATTTTGGAAAATGCCGCTTGCGCAAACATTGTTATGAACGAATTCTTCTTGAAAGAGTCAATTAATATCTAAGGATAGTATTTGAGAAGTGTTGTACATGAGATTAGATTTGTCTGATTCCTTCGAGAAAATCACCACAATGATGAACTGAAAATGGGTAAAGCTGCGGAATGTTGTGTCTCTTTCAAAACACCAGGGGAAATCAAGTGAAGTTATTTGTGATAAGAGCAAAATCATATACACCAAGACTAGAAGCGGCTTCTATTGAAAATGTTATGCAATCTAACACTTACCATACAACGAGAAAGTCCAGCAGCTCAAAGTGTTGTTCAATGTATTCTACACAGCAATACTTGGAGTCAACTTTATGTCTCAACAATATAGACCAACAGTAGACTAAATTCTTTCTCGCCTGTATCAGAATTCACAGAACCATGATGAGCAACCAGCTAAACTAACTGCACATTCATGTGCTTGGTAGCAATCTAAATCTTACTTCCCATCCCAGTATAGGCAACTTGTAGATTAGTAAAGCAACAACATCCTCTTTGCATAGTTCCTCCACTAGCTGTGAAACCTGATCCATATTTGGCTCCGACTCCCCATCTCCAGAGAGCATGCATCTCATAGTCACAAAATTCTTCTCAACTTCCTCTAAAGCCTATGAAAAAAAGTTCCCACCAATTATTGCAACTACAGCTCATTAGTCAAAGCAATTTAGCGCTCTAAACATCCTTTCTTACAGTAGGTTCTCGCCGACTAAAAGCAAGCAGAAAAGAGGAGAAGAACTGAGATTTCTCCAACTAGATTCTTTGACGATCAAGCTCAGTTAAATGAGTTGCTTGCCTCCTAGACTAAAATAAACAACCCATTTCTCTGAAATATAAAATGTGGAAGTTCCGCTTGAGAATTTTAGTATTGCTGTACAATCAACTAAAAAAGGTCACCCAGTTAAAGCATTGAGAATTTGGATCAAAGGGATGCGATTGGAGTGAGTCAGAATCATGCAAGCTCCGATGAAATGAAAAACCGCAGGAAATGTATGAACAGAAAAAAATGGTGAGTGAAGAAGAAGCAAGAGAAGAAAGCAGAAGACAGAAACAGACCTTCTCAAGGGTTTTGACTTCGAAAACAGTTTTGGTATCAAGGGCCATGAGACTGTCCTTGATGGACTTGGCCACCTCCTGTGGCGTTTTAGGCCTCAAAATCTTGAAGAAGGAGAACGACATGGCGATCGGCTCGTCAATGAATTTCCACTGTGCGTCTCCGTATCTGTATATAGGTTTCTTTTCGCTCTGCCTGTAGCTCTGCTTTTCAGGATGTTGAGGTGAATAATGCAGCTGAAGCTGTGCTCCTTGTTTCTGATTCTCATCACTCGTCAGCGTCATGAATGATGTACCTGCCTGAATAATTACGTGTTACTATTAATATTTATATTAATATCTTTCATGGTTTTCGACTTTTCTTTTTTCTTTTTTATTGCGCTATCAAAATAAAAAGAATATTAAATTTGGAAATTACTCTAAATTTGTTTGACTTATCATCTGAACTAAGGGAGGAGTTAACCAAGCAAAATTGATTTTGATTTTCTGAGGGGTGTGTTTTAGGCGTTTTAGCGCACATGATGCGGAGAGACATTCATTTTCTGTTTAGCTCGTAGGAAATGGGAAGAGAAACAAGTAGCTGAAAGATTTTAGTAGTTGGCAAAAAAATTCAAAAAAAAAAAAGAAGAAGATTTTAGTAGATTTAATTTTTAAAAATAATTGTTAAAAACATTTTCACTGTGGTCCAGCATCTTTTTTTTTTTTAATTGCCTGTCCATATTTTATCAATTTCTCCCTGATTTCGACTACATAAAAATAAATGAAAAGTAAAATAAATAAATAAATAAAAGAAAGTGGTTCTACAACTTTTTTGGCCTTCAAACTCACAATTTAATGTTTGAAAAAGCCTTCAGAAATGTATTTGATATGAGTTGGGCTGTAGATCTAAATGTGGTTCTGCATTTCCAAAATATAGTGTTCACAGAAGGATATTTCATATTTCCCTCAATTATGATTTTTATGAAAAATTCTTTTTAAGAAAAAGAGAATTTTATGCAAAAAAACAAATGGGCCCACACATGCTTATGATTAGTACCTGTGGGGACCGTCTTAGAGAGATAAGAGAAAATAAAGCTCACCTTGTTGACTTGACTCCAAGTCCTCCTGTCAGGTCTCACGTTTGCATAAAATATCATTTATATTCCTAATATGTCTATATAAAAATTAATTATGAAAAAGTTGTTCTTGGATAATACTGTCCGGTCTTAAATATAATATTTTTTTTAGTGTAATATATATTACTTTCAATTCTTAATATAAGATCTTGTTTGAATTTTATTTTGTCCTAAATATAAGATCCTAATCTATTTTGTCTCTCATATTTATACATTTTTTTCAAAGTAGTCTTTCTAACAATGATAGTTCTAGTCAATACACTTGATTAGTAAGGATATTTTAGGAAAGACAACACCTATTTAGGACAAATAACTAACTCAATTTATTTTTTTAATCTCCTCAAATTAGTTAATTGGTTCTTATAATTAGGACCGGAGGTAGTATATTACACTACAAAAAAGATATTATATATCTGAAGAATAATTATAAAAATTTTTTTGCCTGAATTAAAAAAATTGTTTTGCTGATTGCTGAATGCTTACAAACCGGACCCAAATTTGTTTTACCACACTCTTTGGCAAGAAAAAACCGTACATCTCTTGTGTTATTGTCATAAAACTTTATAAATTTGCAAAATTGCATGGGAGTTCCGTTAGAAAGAAGAAAACCAGGGGCATTGCTGGTAATGTATCCCACATTTCCGGGAGAAGCCACCCCACTAACCCGCCGACTCAGCCTCTCCCACCGATTGCCTTTTTTCTTTCCCTCTTTTTTCTATCTATTCCTTGTTGCCTGATTCCTTCCATCGATCTCCATCATCTAATTCCAATTTCTTGCCTATTGTGCTTTCATAGCGATGCGAGGCCATGATCGGATTAACACCTGCCTTCCTGACGAGCTCATCGTTGAGATCTTCCGCCGTCTTGATTCCAAGTCCTCTCGCGATGCCTGTTCCCTCGCCTGCAAGCGCTGGAATCGCCTCGAGCGCCTCAGCCGAGCAACTATCCGGATCGGAGCTACCGGTTCCCCTGACTTATTCGTCAACCTTCTGGCAAGCCGTTTCTCCGACCTCAAGAATATCCACATTGATGAGCGCTTGTCGATTCCGCTGCCTATTCAGCTCGTGAGTCACCTGATTCTGATATCAACTGTATTTTCATCTATGATTCTGGATTTGAATAGTTGGCTCTAGCTTATTACAAATGCAATGTCACTTTTGATTCGATGTAATTACATGGATCCGGAGTTCTCGAAATTTGATTGGTCGAAATTATCTGTGAATTTGTTTGATTTCTTTCCAATGGTTTGAGTAGGGGAAGAGACGGGCAACCGATAACTCTAAGGTTTCATCGCTTAAGCTGCGTTGTGTGACTGAAAAAGTTGGAACTGAGGATAGCGATTTTGATTCAATATGTTTATCGGATGCGGGATTGGCCGCTCTTGGTAAAGGCTTTCCGAAGCTAGAGAAGCTGAGCTTAATCTGGTGTTCTAACGTCTCCAGCGAGGGATTAATATCCCTAGCTCAGAAGTGTAGTTGCCTGAAAGCGTTGGATTTGCAGGTATTTTTCTGAGTTTATTGGACCTGCGACTCTATAGATTGGCTAATATGTTTGAGGGGCACATACCATATTTGTATTCAGTACACGTGGCATATATTTTGCTCCTTCCCATGATCTCTATTGAAGTTAAACTGCCCCCGAGACTGAGTATATGTCTGCCCTAGCTTTGATGCTAATGCTCATTTTCCCTGTCGATGCATTGTTCTCCTTATCACTCTCTCAACATTTAATTATTCACACGTTTAATGCTCTAGGTAATGTATATTTTTAAGTAGAATTATAACCATGGAGTTTCCTCTAGGGTTGTTATGTTGGAGATCAAGGTTTGGCTGCTGTTGGGCGGTGTTGCAAGCATCTTGAAGACTTGAATCTGCGGTTCTGTGAAGGTTTGACTGACAAGGGTTTGGTTGAGTTAGCCTTGGGCGTGAAAAATTCCTTAAAATCTCTTGGTGTGGCAGCTTGTGCCAAAATAACTGACATCTCAATGGAAGCAGTAGGAACATACTGCAGATCCCTTGAGACATTATCATTGGACTCTGAATATATCAACAATAAAGGGGTGCTTGCTGTGGCTGAAGGGTGCCCCCATTTGAAAGTTCTAAAGCTGCAATGTATCAATGTCACAGATGATGCTTTGAAGGCTGTAGGAACTCGTTGTTTGTCTTTGGAGCTATTAGCTCTCTATAGTTTTCAAAAATTTACTGATAAGTAAGCTGCTTCCCACAAGTTCCTTCCTCTCGAATTCACTTCATAATGACCATAGTTAAAAGCACTCAAGACGTACATGTTTGGTCTAATTTCTTATCTAAGTAGTATGTTATTACCAGACACGATGGGTTGAGTCCATATTGCAATTTTGTAAACACTTCTATAGATATTTGACTCTCTTGACCATTTCTTGGCTTGGCCAAATTTAAGAGGAGGAAGCTGCGCTCTAGCTTTCCTTGTTTGTATGACCTTTTCTGTTTATATGACCATCGAGGAATTATGACCTGCTATTTTCTAGTGGCACATATCGTCATATGCCATTCTCACATGTGTCTGAAAATTGACTATGCGCTCTCTTACTTTTTTGAGATGGGTCAGTACTTGGTAATGCTTTTACTTTTTGTATTGTCTTGCATTCAGGGGGTTGCGTGCAATTGGTAGCGGCTGTAAGAAGTTGAAGAACTTAACTTTAAGTGATTGTTATTTCCTTAGTGATAAGGGTTTGGAAGCAATTGCCACTGGTTGCGAGGCACTTACTCATCTTGAAGTCAACGGGTGCCACAACATTGGAACTATGGGGGTAGAATCAATCGGAAAATCCTGCCAGTATGTCTCCTTTAAGCTGTTTTAACTTTTATGTGTGAAAATATACCGGATGCATTGAACTGGAAGTCTTGTGTATGCAACAAAATCAGCTAACGAGGTTGGAACCAAGAAATTAAAATTTTTTGGTGCCGACTAATTTTTCATGTGGATGGTTGCCATAAGATCATTTGAATGCTTTTTTAATCATTGAAATAGAGGATCGTGAAAGGTGTTGATGTTTATTTTGGTTGGGGAATGTGTCTGTTATTAGTTGGATGCGGCAAGCATTTACTGGTGGTCTTGCTGAGTGACTAAGTTGACAAAGATGGAAGTTGTTATCTACATTTTTATGTCCGTTGTTTGTATCAGTGTTCCATTAAAGTTTGTGACGAAAAAATATATTCAGTCACTGTATAAAAACAATCTTTTACAGACATTGTGAGAAATATCAGTTGATGATTTTGCTGTGTCAAGTGATAGTGATGCCAAGTAATCTGTTCATGGTATTGACATTATGCTTGTTCTCACAAGTTCTAATGCTGCTGGGTTATTTCTATTGATCTTTCATACATGATGTTAATTTCAGCTCTGTGTATGTACAGTAATCTCACTGAGTTGGCATTGCTTTACTGCCAAAGGATTGGTAATGATGCCCTGCTTGAGGTTGGGCGGGGTTGCAAATTCTTGCAAGCTCTTCACTTGGTAGATTGCTCAAGCATTGGAGATGCAGCCATGTGTGGTATAGCTAGTGGTTGCAGGAATTTGAAGAAACTACATATTCGTCGATGTTATGAGGTAATGCAGAAAGGAAAGAGAGGAACTTCTTGTGGTTATTGATTCTCAACCGCATTATTGTTGTCATGATTCCTTACTTGCCCTTTCATAGGATTTTGAGTCAATGTTTGAATGGTTGCTCTGAAGATGGTTATGTTGACTCGTTGATGGTTCTATTGTTTATAGCCTAAACAGGATTGAGAGATGTTTTCATGACAAAATATTGACTGTCCAGGTGTAATTTGAAGTGCTATGTTGTATTTAGTCCAGGTGACTAGCATATGTTGAGCATTGACATGGCCTGTTGTTTGTAGATTCTAAGCAATTTATTGTGTCTATAGGTTATAGGACTTCTGCAGCTTGTGAAAAGTTGGCCCTAGTTACCTCTTTCCTGTTATAAGGATTCTATGAAGTGCTCAAGTTATAGTGTTTTGGTGACTTCCTCTATTGCTTTCTCTTCCCTATTAAGGCGAATAGGCAACACGGTGTGCCTCACGTTTTTTTGGCCTCTGACCTAATTAGTGTCTTGTTTATTCCTTTTTTTGTGTTATTAACTGGAGATTCCTCATATTTCCTTAAATTATTTATTCGCACGAGTCCTTAATAACTCACTTCTGTTTTCTTTCCTTTATAAAGAGAACGTTAGGAATATAGGAATTATATTTGAGAAATTGTTACTTCCAGAAGAAATGCCATCTATGATGCATAAAGCTGCATTTTCTAATAATCTAATTGATTATTTAATTATATGGCAGAAATTCAAACCTTTGTTGCTCTCTTTCTCTTTTTTTTTTTTTTTTTTAGATTGGGAGCAAGGGAATCATTGCTATTGGTGAGCATTGTAGGTATCTAAAAGATCTTAGCATTCGATTTTGTGACAGGTAAAACCTTATTCAAAGCTTTTGTTTTTCCTCTCACCACTGAAATTCTTAGTTCTATTTATATAATTTTATGTCAAGATGTTTTATAATTTTTTTCATGGAGCCCCTTTTTTTAACAATTCATGAGTAAATTGTTGGTTGCTTAAGCATAAACATATTTACATCTTTATTAAACTTTTAGGGTGGGAGATGAAGCGCTTATTGCAATAGCTGAGGGCTGTTCCCTTCATAATCTGAATGTTAGTGGTTGCGTTCAAATTGGAGATGCTGGAGTGATAGCCATAGCAAGAGGGTGCCCTCAACTGGGTTATTTAGATGTGAGTGTATTACAGGTGTGTACTCGTCTCTTGTCCGCTCTTCTTTTCACCCTTCTCCATAGTGCTAGTAGTACTATTATTTATTTATTTGATTGATGGCATTAGTAGTTCTTACATTGCTTGTGCTCCTTGATTATTTGCATTTGAATATTGATTTATATTCTTATTTTATAGATTTCTTGATTCTCTAGATGTTTGTTTGACTTGAATAGTGTTGTTAAAACACGTGGTAAGTTACTCAGTTATACTGCCACCTGAAACAGTTTTTGCTTGAATAGTGTTGATAAAACACACATGGTAAGTTACTCAGTTATGCTGCCACCTGAAACAGTTTTTGCTTGAATAGTGTTGATAAAACACACATGGTAAGTTACTCAGTTATGCTGCCACCTGAAACAGTTTTTGCTTGCCTAAAACCCTTGGTTCTAGTGGCACTAGATGTTTCTTTTGTGGCGCCAGGTTCCAAGTTCGATCCCACAACTCCTTGGGCACCGTACCTGCATTTAAAAAAAAAAAAATTTGTTTCACAAATTATTTGATTAAACTATTTCCAGAACATTACATAATAATTGCTTTTGGCAGTTTGTGTGTTGCAAATGAGAGTTAAGTTTTTTACTTCTGTCATATTCTTGCTATTTCAAGATGACGATCCATTGATTACTCAGGCTTGTGATGTAACATCTGCATTGGAGAAAATCATAACTACCCGCCCCCCAAAATAAAAATAATAAATGATTTTTTTTTCATGCTTAAATGTAAACATGACTCATGATCATGTTTATGTAATGTGTACGTGGAACAGTGCCAGATCTATGTTATGCATATGAGAGGTGCCTCAGCCTATCAACTTTTAAACAATGTACCCTGATGTTCTTTCTCAAGTTTTACTACTACCCTATTTTAGCTGAAGTTTTTTTTCTCTGTATCGTTTGGTACACAACGGCAGAATTTGAGTGATATGTCAATGGCTGAGTTGGGGGAGCACTGTCCAATGCTCAAAGAAATAGTGCTCTCACACTGCCGTCAAATAACAGATGTTGGTCTTTCCCATCTGGTGAGGAATTGTGCCAAGCTGGAGTCCTGCCACTTGGTTTATTGCCCTGGCATAACTTCAGTTGGAGTGGCCACTGTGGTTTCCAGCTGTCCAAACATAAAGAAGGTCCTGGTTGAAAAGTGGAAGGTTAGCCAGCGGACCAAGCGTCGAGCAGGCTCTATCATTTCCTACCTCTGTGTGGACCTTTAGACATTTTACACCTTCTCCCGGGTCCTTGTATATTCCATATCTAGCGATGTGTGTTATCTTGGGTGAAAGAAAATATGACGAAGACAGTGCTTCTTATGTGGAAAAGTGTTTTATAGAAAGGGGATGGAAAACGAACCTATTCCTGCATTCTAACCAAACATTGCATAAATGTTGAGAAGCTGTTGGCCCCTTGGGGTTGAGCCTTTTGTACAAATTGTCAATGATCCTAAAGTCATGGCTTTCAATTAGGCTGTATGAAAAATGTAGTAGGTGGTTGCCGTTGATAAATATGTGTTTATATTAGCTTAATCTATAGATATTGTAGATTATCATTGCACTCAAATCTTGTCATGGAAATGAAAGGTTTGATTTCATCGGATTGCCTGTACCTCCGTTTACTTTTCTTACTTCTTTTCTTTCTTCTCTCCACAGACACACAGACACTCACCTGCGATAATGCAGCACAAAACCACCCTTTTGGATTTTATATATCATTTGACAGAAGAAATGAATATTTTAATGTTTGAAGAAAAATACTTTCTTTTAATTTTGTTTTTAGAAGTAATTTTTTTATTCAGTACTCTAAAAATTACAAAAAAAGTTTTACGAATTAAAAGAGAAGATGCTTAACAAATTTTGTGTCACTGTAATTAAACTTGTGGAGGTGTTACTTATACTCGTAATAGTGATATTTCCTAAATTTCATGAAGTAAAACGAACCAAAATAAGTGACACGCGTGGTGTATTGCATCTACGATTATGTCAGTTGAATATCGGCCACCTCGATTTGAAAAAGAAATATTGTCAATTTGTCATCATATCACAGGACACATTCACTTTAACATAAACATGCTTTATGCTTCTTATTTTAGTTAATATTTTAGTTACAATATAAGCTTGTTTAGAATTGACAAAATAATCAATATCATCCATCTAGAAATATAAAATTTATAAAAAGATCATACTATTCATGAATCTGCAATCTTACACCTGACTAGGCTCGTGACAGTATGAACAAAGCATACCTATTTTCCCATTTTATTTTTAGGGTAGAATTAGTCGGATCTGCGTATTAGAATAGCCACGGAAGGAGTAATTGGCATGATATTAAGTAGTAAGATGAATATAGCTGTCAATCCATTGAAAAAAAAAAAAAACAAGAGTCGCATATGGTAATGATAGTTATCTAGTAAAAAGTCCACGGACAACGATCAAGTTACCGTGAGCGGAAGTAAACTCCGACTTCCTCAAGAGATTAACCTTTTAGCGGATAGAATATATTTTCTCGGCCCCCAGTTTATATTGTCAAGAGTTGATTGAAATAATTACCGTGGTTGAGAAATGAGACCACTGGAACATATGGTACTTTTATTAATATGTGTGTGTGTGTGTGTTTTTTTTTTATGACCTGAAACTATACGTATTGATGATAGTAATAGAAAAAAAATAAAACGAAAAATACTGGCAGAAAAGATCCGTCTCATGTTCCTGAGCGGATGAACGGTGCGTTTAGAAGGATTGTGGATTTAAGTTTACAAATTGAGAATCGCTTCTTCGTGCTTTTCACTGTTCATCATCTCGTCATCGGAGTTGTTGCCAGCCAGCCAGCCAGCCATGCCCGCAGGCTGTAGCGTCAGAGCTATCTGGATTCTCAACAACCTCGACGCTGTTGTATTCTCCAGGTACGCCTTCCCTTACCCCTATTCCCATTCATATTTTTGATGGAACCCTCTTTTATCACAAGCTTCTCCAATTACCGCTCTGTCCCTCTCAACTATAAACACATTCTTTGATCGTCCTCGCTGGATTTGCTTCTGTATATGTGGTTACTTCCTTGGCTATTTTCATGGGCTATTTGTAGATTGTAATTCTGAACTTCCGAGTTTCTTTTGTTTTTTGTTTTCCACTGTTTATATCAGGAGATTTCCGGTTGTGGAGAAGCATTGGCGATCTGCTTGCAAGAGCGAGAATGATAAATCAAGCGGTGATGAGTTGAGTTCCAGTGCCACTGTGTACACCTTGTTACCCAGCGACTCTGAGCTTGCTGCTGCATTTCTAGAAAGAAAGCAAAGGTTAGCTAGCGGAAATTTGAGAGCCGTTATATGATATGTCTTATCTTCGTTTTTTCCTATTTTTATTTTTATTTTTCTTCCTTTTAATGGATGCCCCTTGCGAGTTGCTTGTCAGCTGGTGACTTGCTGCTTTTGTGCAGGGAAGGATCTGCGCGTGGGTTCGGCATGCGCTTAAGTCAGTCATCTCCCGGATCCGATTCTTGGGTGGATGATCCCATTACACGTCATATCATAGGCCTGTACATAAATAAGGAACAGGAGGGGGATAAAAATCTTTTATGGCCTTTAATCTTGCATGTAAGAGGGCATTACGTTGTACTTGTTCTGCCGTTGGTTGAGCCTAGGCATTTGAAGGGATATGCAAAGTTATGCAAAAGGTCTGATTGTGGAAATGCTCTTGGAGTGGATGCTAGTTTGTCCTCGCTCTTGCTTGATCTTCCTTCGATCACAGGGTATGGTAAGTTACTGGCAAATTGCACGTACATTGAGGAATTGTACCGTACCAAATGACTACATTTTGCATATACAGCTTCAGCTTCAGTAATTTTTTTTTTAATCGTTGCTTAGCTTCATTATTGCTGCTGCAGCTGCTGCTTAGTTTTATTATTGGAAATCAGTGTGTATATGAAAATCTTTGCTATATTGATTTTTTCCCCCAAAAAAAAAATTGAATGCTACTTATAATTGACTCCTTGTGTGCTGAGGGTGGTAGTAAATTTGATCTCCCTTGTGAGAAAACGCTATACTTCATTTTGCTATAGAACACAACAAAAATATTTGTTTTTTAAATTTTTCACAGTATGATTAGCGGGCACTTATTAGAGGAAATAGTCAATAATGAAGTTGATAATATATAACCAGGGGTAAGCCGATTTTCAGGTCTTCATGATATGTCTAGGTGATTAACTTTGCTGACTTGACATTTAGCATCAGACAAACTGTTGTGATCATTTATTTCTGAATGGGATTCCTCTTATATTATTCTCTTATATAAAACTTATGCACTCAGTCTCAAAATTTTCTCTATATCACTCATTCATGGGCTTCCTCTTAAACTTTTCTTTCCTTTTTTTTTTTTCCCCTGCTAGACTTTGGAAAAGTATACTGGTTAAAAAAAAGTATGATAAAAATAAAAATAATCTCTTCCCCTCTTTCTGGTCATATATTTATATTTCATAGCTTAATCTAATATCATGGGTAAGGGCTACTTGTCGGGGTTCACCCTTTTGGATTTAAATAGTTGGTAAAAGTGTGCAATCTTTTCACTATATCTGCATCTATGTGGGTACATTTCACTTGGTGCACTTTCTGCATCGCATTTTAAGTGCAGCTTTGTATGCTATTTTTTAAATTTGGAATTCATATCACCTCCACCGTGCTAGAAAGAGGTTCTTTTTACTTTTTAGTGTTGATGTTGGTACTTAATTGTGTTAAGGTATGTGTTATTGAATAAGAGATGTTAAAAGCTCAGCGTTTTTGCCTTTCACTTCACAGGGCATTTATGGTGGCACATGTTATAGGTGACATAGTTACTGGCGACACAATAGAACCTGAAGTAGTTGTGAGTACAGCTCCCTCTGTCGGAGGGTTGTTTGATTCACTAACTGGTAGTATAGGCATATCAGGCATCTCTTCCAGGGCAAAACCTGTGGCTCCGCCCACCGCATCTTCCTCCCCTGCGAGCACAGCTGCATCTGGAACAGTTATGACAGATACTCCAAAGCCTGGGTCTAAGCTTTTTGATAAAGATGCACTGAGAACATTTATCAGTAGTTCAATGCCCTTTGGTTGGTACTTTTTTACTATGGTATTTCCCATCTCATTATTTTAGTTGTTTTTCATAGTCAAGCTGGCATTTGTCAAAAATTGTTTTATTTAATATACAGGTACACCATTGGACCTTAACTATCCCAACATTTTTACTATCAAGGCCAATGGCTTTTCAGCGTCAGATTTGCCTTCTACAGACCAGAAGCAACCGGCCTGGAAGCCATATCTTTACAAAGGAAAGCAAAGAATCCTGTTTACAATTCATGAAACTGTTAATGCAGCCTTGTATGATAGAGATGAGATTCCAGATAATATATCAGTTTCGGGTCAAGTAAACTGTCGAGCTGAACTAGAAGGGATGCCAGATGTGTCACTTCCTTTGGCAGGATTGAACACCACAAAAGTTGAGGTTTTGTCATATCATCCTTGCACTCAAGTTCCAGAACAAGGTGTGGATAAGCAGGCCGTGATGTTTTCCCCACCATTAGGGAATTTTGTGTTGATGCGTTATCAGGCAACTAGTGCCCTTGGGCCACCCATAAAGGGGTTTTATCAGTTGTCGATGGTCTCTGAGGATAAAGGTGCCTTTCTGTTTAAGTTGCATCTGATGGAAGGCTATAAGGCTCCTTTGACAATGGAGTTCTGTAACGTGACTATGCCCTTTCCCAGGAGGAGGATTGTGTCCTTGGATGGGACTCCTTCTGCAGGTACAGTTTCGACTTCTGATCACTCTGTTGAGTGGAAAATTGTGACTAGTGGACGGGGACTCTATGGGAAAAGTATTGAGGTGACCTTCCCTGGAACAATCAAGTTTGCTCCATGGCAACACCTGAGGACTTCGTCTGTGTCATCCTATTCCCATGCAAGCAGTATTGATGAGGATAGTGATAATGAGACAGAAAATAGTAGCAACATGGTAAATGAAGAACACTTCATGGAGAAAATGAATAAAGATCTTCCTCCTGCTGATCTTGAGGAGCCATTTTGCTGGAAGGCATACAATTACGCTAAAGTATGCTTTATGAAGTTATGCTTTCCTTTCTCTATGGGGTTCATTGTTGTTTACTTTTGTTCTGGGTTAGTTTTTGCTTTTGGCAATTCTTATGATGTGGCCTTGTGTTTAGTATGCAAACGCTCCTGTATGGGATTTGAAATTGTATCCTCTCTCTTCTTGTTATTTGAATTTCTCATCTTGGATATGCTTCCAGTTGATTACCGCAAGATTATATTTTATAGTAATTTTGTGAACGACATACTCCTATTTTTGGTGGGAAAAAGAAGTCTCAAATGGATTATAGGGAAGAAGTGTTCAGCCTATGAAAATGAATTGGTGAATTTTTATTCAGACTTTCGTTTGACATTGGGGTCATAAATGTTGTCCTGTTGTAGTCATAACATTCCATATGAGTATACTAAACATGGGGCTGGTGCCAGAGACGAGCATCCGGGAGGCTAATCCTTTGGTCCAATTTTGTGTCATTGCTCTAGATTCTAATTTTTCCTATCCTATGCATTCTGACGAGTAGTTAAGTAGCTTATTGAGGAATAGATGGGCTTCATTTATACTAACTTAAGCTTTTGGGAAATTGACCGTGTTTTTATTATCTGTGTTAAGGTATGGACCCAGTCACGAAAATAAATTTCAATGAATATGTATTTGTTTTGGATCCTGTCTTTTAAAGTGGATGTGTCAGGTTCTCTTAATAAAAAGAGGTTCAATTTTCTGATGCAATTTTATTTCCATAACTCCTCATGACAGGTTTCATTCAGGATTGCTGGTGGATCACTATCTGGAATTACCATTGATCCAAAATCTGTAAGTCGAGTCTATTTAGTTTCAGTTTCACAAATATTGAAATATATGCTTCATTAGCATTGCTTTCTCACCTTTCATTTGATTATATACTTCTATGCGTTTTTCTAGTACCAACCCTCTACTGTAGAATGTGGGGGTTTCTCTTTTGCAATCTATCTGATAGTCTGCCCCTTGTGCAGGTAAGCATTTACCCAACTGTCAAAGCACCTGCGGAATTTTCAACTCAGGTATTCGTTCACACTATTTGTGTATGTTCATAGGATTAATTTATATATTTGTTCATGCTAATCTTTCATTATTGTTTCGTCAAAACCAGGTTATTTCTGGGGACTATATATTGTGGAACACTCTTGGCAAATGTCCATACGTTGCCGTTGGAAAAATGGAAAAGATGTGAGTACAGGAGTATAAATGTGGCAACACATAAGATCTTGCATCTAAATAGCCAGGATATCATTGGATTTGTGACGGAACATCTGAACTGGCATCAACTGAGTAATGATGACAGTCTATTGTTGCCATGTTCAGACATATGATGGCCTTACATGTGTTGCATGATGTGCCGAAATTTTTGTTGCGGATTGAATTGAGAAACATTAATGTAAATGGGGAATGGATGGAACTTGTACTACATGTAATAGGCGCACTGGTTTTCCACTTGCGACACAATTTTCTGTTGAGCATATTGATTGGGATTATTTTATGTTAAGCTCTCTTGATGTTTACCATTAGCATATAATTGCAGTGCTTAATCTTTTTCTGGTCGCTCAGTGGATGGAGAAATCTTATCCTTAAAACGGTGGCAGCAGCCTTACTTTCTGTGTAATTTTCTGATACTTGTAAGATCATTGTACTGAGCTTGTTCGATGCTTCATGTACTGAGCAGCTGTGGAATAAAGTGGAGCAGACGTTCCTGGGATGCTCCGTGGGATTACTTTTGGTGAACCATAAAAATCGTGGTTTAAAATTTGACATCGAAAATACACATGTAGTTTGGTTAAGAGCAAAAATGATACTTGTTCTTTTTTACCCCATGGAAGCCAAAAAAAAAATTTAATTAATAAAACATTTTTCTATTTGCAAAGAGTAATTTTAAAATTTTTCCAAAAATTAATTATTTAAACTATTGCTATTAAATTTTACGTAAAGTTGTTAATAAGCGAAACACTTAGAGAAGGACATCAAACAATTGTAAAAATGAAGATTTGAGGTGGTGTGACAGAGTATATGATCATTGAAAGGGGGGGATGAGTCACCGCCAGGGCTCAAATGAAAAATAGCCGCAAAATTGGAACCTTGTGAAAATTGTAGAATTTAGCTCATCTAAAATTTACCTGAATTCAGCGGGACAAAAAAGAAAATATATGCAAATCCCTTGAGTGAGATCAAATTATAATTTCCCTAAAATTGCTGAATCCCCTCTTCTCACAAATGAGAGGGTAAGGATGATATTAATTTAAACACAAAGCCTAATTGGGGGATTAATTTTTTTTTATTATCCAAACTACTCCAACGTTATAAGAAGAGCCTGTGAGCTGCCCAGTATCATTGACTTCACGTTATGCATATGTAATCCACTCATAACACATCAATATTATAATCATTGTATCATTAAACATTTGTATTCATAATCTCTGTCTCAGTCCCAAAACTAATTCTCTAATGACATACTAGAAGATTCTCGTCTCCCCTTCACACTCACTTATTAATTACCCATAAATATTTTTTTTTTATTATGCCAAATCATGCTGTCTGTGATCTTTTAGAGACACTAAAAGATTATAGCAGAGACAAAGTTCAGTGGAAAGGTCACCATTTTTAAGGCACGTCATGCTTCCACAGATTCGCATTCCTTTATGTGACATAATGGTTCATTTTAATATATCTTTTTTTTTTTTTGCTATTTAATTCGCGTCTTTTCCTCTAATGTAACAGTTCAAATTAAGTAGTTTCAAATATTATATCTAAGGAAATTTATCAATTAGAGAGATATGAACGAAAAAAAAAACAAACACTAAGATTTGGGGTTGATCTTATGACTTTGTTTGATAACACGCGCATGCCTAGCTAGCTAGATGGTGTATGGGAGGAAAATGAAAAGATCGTTGTAATATTATTTTATTTTTTCGCTTAAATTGAGCTAAATCAAAGCAGCTTAATTTAAACCTAAATTTTGTTATTACCAAAAAAAAAAAGAAGAAGAAGCTAAATTTTGTTTCCTAAAAGAGTTTGTCATCTATTAATAGGCGTTGATCATGGTAAAAAAATGAGTTATAACTGCTTGAGTAAAAGACTCTGTGAATGGAGAGCAGATTATTTAACTGTTCTTATAATACAAGGGTGAAACTGTCTAATTTTTCTATGAGAAAAGCTTAATTAAGCATGTTATTATTTCTGTTTTTATTTTAAAATTTATATAATTATTTTTTTAACCAATTAGTAACTTTAACAACTAGAATCACAAGCTTTATCGGTATTCAAGAGATTTGTGTTTAAGAAAAGTAGGAACTGGTCGGGGGACAAAATAACTTGGAATAGTAAAAGAATAGTATCATATTATGTTAACTTTTTGTAGAGCAAAGATGGTAAGAAGCAGAGGAAACATGATGGCCTCCATGAATAACCACGCCAACAAACCTATAAAAACAATTTTAAAAAAAAATTTTTTGCATGTCACGATGCAAAAATTTTATAAAAAATTGATAAAAAATCCCTGTTTGAAAATTTAATTAGCTAAAATGAGTTGAATTTGAGCACGTACAAGTATGATCTGTAAGTGTAACATATCTTCCGTTATGTTCAACATATCTTTCGTTGTGTGCAAATGACTTCTGTAATTAATAATTGTTGCACACAGTGAAAGATATATTGTACTCAGATCATAATTACACTTGCTCAAATTTAAGTCCTTTTAACCAATCACTTTTCATTTTTTTTTTATACAAATTTTTCCAAAATTTTAACCATTCACTTTTCATTATTTTTTATACATTAAAATTTCAGATAAGATGAGCTTGCATTTCAAAAGAGTCATCACTGAAAAAATTATTTATTTAAATAATAGTTATTAACACACAGTTAAATTATAAAACTTGTGAGTTTAAACAAATTCATTGAATAAAAAAAACTGAAAGTTTATTTTTATTAATAAATAACTATTAAAATATGAAATCAAGAGCATTTATCCCTTTATTTTCTTTCTATACATTAGGAGTATAGTTTATCTTTAGAAAAAATGACCAAAAAATACTCATTAAAATTGAAAAAGACAAAAAAAATCATCTAAGTAGGTAAAATGATTAGATGGGCATGAAGTATGAATTTGAGATTTGCAAGTTTTGATGGAATGACTATAATGCCCTTGAAGCGAAAAGAAACAAGTAGGTGAGGGTTTTCACATATCAACACATTAACTAAAACAGGTTGCGAAACTTGTTATGTAAATGGTCACTTTTATTTTACAAGTTGTTATTCCCGTTATATGTTCAGTAAAATTATGTGCAAAAGGATTAAAAATGTTGCAAATAAATAAGTTGCAAATCTCCTAACACAAATAGTAAATTTCATTATGCAAGGATTCATTCATATTGCAAAACTTGTTACACAAATGGTCATTTTCATTTTGCAAGTTATTATTTTCATTACATATTTAGTAAAATTGTGTACAAAATTATTAAAACTATTGCAAATAAGCATATTGCAAATCCCCTAATACAAATAGTAACTTATATCACACAAGTTGTCGTTCACGTTACTTGTTTTGTAAAATTGTCTGCAAATGACTTAAAAACATGTTACAAAACTATTTATACAAATGATCAATTTTATTTCACAAGTTGTTATTCTCGTCACATGTTTAGTAAAATTGTGTGCAAATGATTTAGAAATTGTTGCAAATAAAGAGGTTGCAAAACACATCATAAAAATTGTTATATTCATTTCAAAAGTTTTTAATCACTTTGCAAGTGTTGTAAAAAGCTACATTCATTATATGACACCCACATGTAAACATAATTAGCATATATTATTAATAAATGTGCAATAATAGTGATTCAATATGTTTTTGTAAACAAATTCCATCTACAATCGTAAATTAAATATCATAACAATAATTAGATAATACATTTGTCTGTACAAATGCTATTCTCAAACTTCTTTCCCAACTCAAGAAACTCTTTTTGAAATAACATGTATTCATTCTTCACTTCTTCGCTTGGCTCTCTTTCTAATACTCTTCCGATCCTTAATATAAGACCTATTTAACTAATTTGATTAGATTAGAGAAGTTATGTAAGATTAATTATAAGAAAAGTGACACATTTTTCATCTAAAATTCTTAATACTCCCTCTCCTCTTCTACTTGATTGTGGTTGAGGAGTATCCATAGGGGTAATTTAAAAAAATTGATAAATATGAGAAATGGGTCTTATATTTAAGACAAAAACCAACTTAAGAATTAGATCCTATATTAAGATCGGAGGAATACTGTTTTTCCTTCCTGCAAAACACAACCTCATAGTCATTCACTATGCTATATTTTCTTTATAACAATTTGGTCATTATCAAAAGAAATGTAGTCAATTCTGTTAAGAAGTGTAATAAATTTCATAACCCACTCAACTTAATTTGCTTAACAACAATGTAGTTATTAACACAACAAATCTGGTAAGTTTCATTACTAGGCGAATTCAATTCTAATAACAAGTCAACTTTCTTGTTTTATATAAAAAACATCAATACAAATATGGTCATTCACATCCCAAGTGTCGTCATTTCACACAACCAACAAAGACTATTTACTACTTAAGCAACACAATTTACTGTTCAGGTAATGAGATTTTATTATTCATTCTTGAATTATCAAAACAAAGTAGAAAATAGAGACTAAAAAATAGCAGACTTTAAGAATAAACTTCATGCGAAGATAGCAGAAAGTTGAACCAGTATAAATAAACCTCATTATAGAGATAAAAAGTCACAGAAAAATCCCATAAAACTAAAAGATTGGTTCTTTATTTTATTACATAAAAAACAATAAAAAAATTGAAAGTAATAAACTTCAAAGAGATACATTGGTACATGCACTTAGTATGAACAACATTTAGAAAAATGGGAACAAAGAAAGTTACCCTTTTTTGTGATGATAGCTCAATGGTTGAAGCTTCTCATAGATGCTATGCACATTTCTCACTAAAACTATCATTGACGGTGGCAATGCAAGTAGACGACTTCAGAGAATGGCGACTTTGTGGTTTGATTGAGTCAATGACTTGAGATAATGAGGGCTTCATAGTTTGGGTGAATGGAAAAGTTAGGAGATTGATAGTTTTATGGTTCCAGTGAGAAGATTTGAAATTTGGAAAAGATGAGTTTGGGTGAGTAAGAAATTTGGAAGAATTAAAACAATGAACATTTTTCTTTTCAAAACATTTAAGGGGCATTTTAGTCTTTTTATCAAAATTTGAATATTCTATATTCATACCTCATGCTCTTCTCGTCATTTTACTTATTTAGATGATTTTTTTTTTTGTCATTTTTAATTTTAGTGCGTATTTTCTGGTCATTTTCTCTTATCTTTGTCTAGCTATATATTAAACAGTTTTTCCTTTTAATAAATATTGAAATATGGACTCACGTCTTATAAAACTAGTTTTTTTGGCCTCACGTCTTATATAATAATTGAACGTCGAAGTTTTTATACCCATTCAAAATCGTAGTAAGAAAGAAATTAATTGTTTAATGCACATGAATATAAAGATAACCAAAACTATGTAATTTATTTTTCGCTTGTAAAATAAGTTGGTGACAACATGCTTGCGTCA